TAATTTAGAGAGATAATATAGATAAAGGCTAATATAATACTATTTAATACTAGTCTACTAACTAATCTAGCTAATAAGACCTATAGAATAGCAATCTATCTTTATAATAGATTCTCTTATTAAGCTAATAGCTAGAAATTACTAGAAGAGACTATTAGATAGTAATATTAAAAGAATAGGCATTAGATCCTAAGTAGCTTAAACTAACTAGATCTTAGCTATATTAAAGAGTATAGTTTAAAGGTATATTATCTTAAAGATAAATATTATAATATTATAATATTAACTAAGGCTAAATATTAATCTTATACTAAGATTAGATATCTTATTAGCTATAAAGATATAAATACCTAGTAGATTTAAATCTCTAAGAAGAGAAAGGTTGTTCTATTAAGAGATATAATCTTTAAAGAAGGGTCCTTCTTTAAAAAGAAGAATTATAATAGATCTAGAGAGAGATTAACTATATTTATACTATTAATAGAGGTCTATAAGCTACTAAAATTAATAGAGAGAGAGCTAGAGCCTAAAGAGACTAATAATAAGATTATTAGTCTCTCTAGTCTAATAAATAGACTATTTAAAGCTACTAAAGAGAAAGATTAGTTCTAATAGGCTAAAGTAATTAAAAAGGCCGGTCTAATATAAGAGAGGCTTAAAGAGATTATTATTATCTATCTAACTTCTTATTAAAGTAAAGAGCTAGTCTAAGAACTAGTTATAATAAGATTAATAGAGGGCTTTAAATCTATAATCTTTAGTCTAATAACTTTAGAAACTTTATTAAAGAAAGAGAATAATATTTTAAAGATATTAGAAAATTTTTAAAAAGATTTCTTAAGTTCTATACTAATTAGACAATTAGCTTAAAATCATAAGTTAATAGATTATATATAATAATTAAGAGAGTAAGAGAAACTCTTTAAAAGGTAATAGTAAATAATTAATAGGATAATTCTAAAGGACTATTATAGTATTAATATAGTCTATACTAACTTCTAAGCTAAAGTAATTCCTATTAAATAAGAGCCTTAATAATTACTTTAACTATATTAAAATAACCTATTATTAGAGCTAAGAAATATTAAGAAGGCTATTAATAGCCTCTATAACTAATATTAACTTAAGACTATAAGAAAGAAGGTTAAGAATATCTAAGATAATAGGATATTAAAGATAGTAGATTATTATAAAGCTAAGAACTAAATAGTTATATTATTAAAGTAGGTATTTACCTATAAGTTTAATAGTAAAGAGTATATTAAAAGATTTAAGGCTAGGATTTATATTTAAGAAGACTAATAGCTATTAAATAATTAGAATACCTATATTATTATATTAGTAGAAAGATCTTTTTAAATTCTTATAGCTATTACTATAAGATTTAAGCTTAAGGTAAAGTAGTTAGATATAATTAATATCTTTACTAATATCTACCTTAATAAAAAGATATTTATAGAACTTCTATTATACTTTAAATAGACTGGTAAGATCACTTATTTAATTAGAGTACTATATAGCCTATAGATATTACTATTACTATAGTAGAAGCTTCTCTTAATTATTCTTATTAAAATAGGATTTATCTAATTAACTAAAGAGTTATATCTCTTCTATAATAACTCTATCTTAGTATTCTTCTATATTAATAATATTATCTATCTCTATTATAAGAAGAATAAAGCTAAAGAAGAGGTCTTTAAAGAGATCTTAACCTACTAATTTAAAATAAGAGATCTAAAGGATATTAAGTAGTTCTTAGAAATAAAGGTTATTTAAAGTATTAATTAAAGCTAGATCTAAATCTTATAAGAAGATAATATTACTAATCTTACTATTAGATATAAGCTTAATAATATAGCTAGAGAGCTAGTTATCTCTATATTAATTAAGAAGATTATAAAGCTAAATAAGTAAGTAATCTTATTAGAGATTTATATCTATTAATAAAAGATAAGATCTTTAATCTATCTTAATATTACTATAAGACTAGATATTATTAAAATAATTATTAATCTTACCTACTTTCTTATAAACCCTCTATCTAAAGTAATAAAGAAGATAGATAAAGTTATCTACTACCTTCTAAAGATAAAGAAGCTAAATATTTTATTTAATAGAAATAATCTAGATCTCTTACTTAAAGTCTATACTAACACTTTATTTAAAGATAATCTAGAGAATTAGAAATCTTTTTAAAGATATCTTATAATATTATTTAGAAGTATTATTAATTAGAAAGTAGTTAAATAAAATATTATTACTATCTTATCTATAGAAGTAGAGTTACTTACTTTTATAAGCTCTCTTTAAGAGATTATTACTACTATATAGTTTTTTAAGAAGATAATATTATAATTATTAGATTAATTTATTATCTATTATAATAATTATTAAATTATTTATCTAGTTAAAAGTAAGAATCTATAACTTAAGATAACTTTAAGATATATTAATATTTATTATTATTAGATTTAATAAGAGATTTAAAAAAAGATAGTAGAGATAGAATATCTAGCTATTAATTAAATATTAATTAATAGGCTAATTAAGATTCTTCTAATTAATAAGTACTAGAAGTTTATTAAGTAGTTAGATCTTTATCTCTATCCTATTATTATCTTAAGAGATAATTAAAACTAATAAAAAGAATAATAATCTTTAGTTATAATAGGTAAAAGAACTTCTTAGAATCTAAAGATATTAAGAAGTTTAGAAATCTAATTAGAAATTAAATCTAAGCCTCTTATTAAAGAAGATAGGTATTCTATTACTAGACTATTAAAACTACTTATAGAAAATACTATATTATTATTTTCTATATATCTCTTTTTATTACTATTTAAGAGAAGAATAAAAAGATTAATATCCTCTATAAGAATTAAACCTATAGAATCTTCTAGTCTAACTAATCTAAATAAGAAGTTAATAAATCTAAGAAATATCTTAATTAAGACTTAGTTTAAGTTTATAGAGATATAATAAGCTAATATCTTTATAAATTAAATAGATTTAACTAAAATTTAAATCTAAATCTTTTATCTTAAAAGATAGATATTATAACTATTAAACTATTAAACTATTAAATTAATTATTAGAAAGAATAGAAATTATTTAAAGTTATATAGAATATATTAAAATATATAAGAAAGATATAAGAATTAATAATAAGAAAGAGTAATCTCTATAAAGCCTCTAGTCTAATATATATCTATATTAATATCTAATATATAGTTAATAAGACTAAAAGTAACTAATTAGTCTTTAATATTAAGTAAAATTATTAATTTCCTATTTAGAATATAAGAATAACTTTAGATCTCTTAAAATCTTAGATTCTAGAGATCTAAAGAGGTATATTAGAAGGGGCTAGTCTATTAAAGACAACCCTAGGGTAAATTTAGTATGTAGAGCTGTCTCTGCCTAATCACACCACCCTTTAGGGCCACCCCTAAGGGCCGGCGGCCCCCTGGCGGCCTTCCCCTTTTCTCCCTTAGAATTAGACACCTCAACAAATAGAATTCGATTGATCTGACCCTTAGTTGACACCGAGGAACATGGTCCAAAACGACACTGGATGCCTCCGCGATTGGTCAAGTGCTCACAAAACTGTTCGTGTTGTCAAGTTTGCATAGACTTGTGCTCTGTGTCTGTGAGACAATGTCAATGTGGTCAGCAGTTGGATAGTTTGATAGTACACAGGCGGATGGTGTAAGTCTGGGGAGCGTTCCTACAAGGGTCCTCCGGAGCACCAGTGCGCATGAAGGCAAACAAGCAGGCACCTTTCGTCTTCCCAACTTATCATCTGCATGACCGACCGAGCTGAGGCAGTGCTGTGCGTTGTTTAACTGGGCACACAGACTATGGCTCAAGCCCTCAGCAACAGAGGCGAAAGAAGCAAAATAACTTGGTACTATGGGGGACAAGTGGTCCTGTCCCAATCTCATGGAGCTCAATGATAATGACTAGTCAGAGGAGTCATATCAATACAGAGCAGGACCTAGATGTTTCAAGTGAGATTTAATCGTTTCCTCTCCAGAGGCAGCCAGCCCGACTTTCGGGCGAAGCATCCAGCCACAGGGTGGGAACCCTTGTATCAGAAAAACGCCTGACCCAGACCCTCGGGTGCAGATGCAACACACCAAGGGATGCACAGCCAGGATTGCCAGAGTGCTTGAGGCAATTTCCAAGCGGTGCAGCTGGAAAACTGGTTTGCCCACGCTGTGATTCTAGACGGTGCAACGCCCATCCCACTCGTCTCTTGTAACCTTTTAGAAAACGGCATCGTCCAAAATGCAACATGAGCACAGTCTGCTGACACCGAGAGCTGGAAGCTCCCGCCGTACCCAATTAGAAGTTCGTGACCTCTGCAGACTACACTGGCCCACCAGCTTCCCTGATTGCATGGCTGTCCTGTTATAAATACCAAGCGCTTAATTACTGAGCTTCAATTGGCGGGAACAACCAACAGCACATTATGGGGAGCAGTCTGTGGAGACATGGAAGCAACGTGCATGATTTGCTGTGTTAAAGTTCACTTCACTCGAAGGAGGCACATCATTAATATAAGATACACCATCTTCGACTGCTTGTGCTGAATTGCTGGTGTCTCCCCGTTTTTTCAAAACTTCACGATCTTAATTCTGTCTCTTACCACACAAACTCAACAGGCTAACCCATGTCTTTCCCAAACAATGAGGCTCCAATCAACCTACTGGCCCTCGGTAAGTGTTTACTCGAATTCTTGAATTCATTATACCATTCTCATAAGCAAAACGATGGCGGGGGAGTACGAGGAGTCTCCTCACTAGTAATCCTACACGCGATAATGAGGAACCTTCAACGAAAAGCCAATTTGCCTGAGCTTCCTAGACCCTGCGATTATTTTCACATGATCGGGGGCACCAGCACTGGAGGGTAGGGTACAAATCTTCTGTAGACATGTTGCTATATAAGGTACTCATATCTAACGAAAACCGCATTGAAGCCTCATCGCCATCATGCTTGGCAGACTGAAAATGTCAACCGAAGAAGCACTACAAGAGTACGACAGATTTGCTCACAAGATATTTTCCACCTCCAATCGCAAGATCGCGCTGTCCGACCGCTTTAAGGCTTCTACGCTTCAGGAGGCTATTGAGGATCTTGTTGCCAGGCGTGGCAAGGGCCAGTTGATGAGCGAGCCCAAAGAAATCGCGAGTGACTGCAAGACCTTTGTCTGCGCCATGCCCACAAGGGACTTGGCGGACCCTCGTCGATTTCGGAGTTATGAGGTGGAAGGAGACCGCTTCAAGTCTTGCAAAATCTGGGAAGCAGCGCGTGCGACGTCTGCAGCCCCCACGTTCTTCAAGGCTATCACCATCCAAGACGAAGCTGGAATTGCGGAGGATTTTGTTGATGCAGCGATGGGTTATAACAACCCAGTTGAGTGGTTGATTTCAGAAGCAGGTTCTGCATTTAATCGCTCGAGGAAACTTGGCTGCGTTGTCAGCATTGGTACAGGAACGAAGCCCAAATCCATGGAGCGATCTCTCTCCGGGGCCAAGAACATAGCACGCGTCTTAAAGTTGATGAAAGACATCACCACAGACTGCGAACGCTCCCATAGGGCCATGGAGAAGCTGTTACAGGACTTTCCTGGCACCTACTTTCGTTTCAACGTACCAAGTGCTGCAGAAGAGGTTGGTCTTGACGAATGGAAGAAACTCGGTTCTCTGAAGGAAATGACAAGCGAGTACCTTGAGAAAGCTGAACAGGCGGAGAAGGTTGCCGAAATAGGAGACATGCTGGCCACAAAAGCTGGGAAGGGCCTCAATGTTGGTCACATTTGTAAGAGTTTCCCATGTCCGTCGGGTAGTTCAAAAGGCTTACCCCTGACAGGTTACCCAAGCAAAGCCCAAGTGGTTGCGAGTCTTCGAAGAGCCCAGCCCAGAGGCCTTTCGAGCCCGTTTTTCACCGGCCGGGGGCGAGTACTTCAACAGATGAGGCAATACTTTGGTAGCCGCAACGATCATCAGACCCGAGCGAGGGAGTTTCTGGTATATGGCATGGGTGGATCTGGCAAGACACAGGTTGCTTTGAAGTTCACAGAGGAAATGGAAGAAGAAGACAGGTAAGGTTCAAGCATCGCTCGATATGGTTGTAAGTCACTGACCCGTCTTACCCGTCAAGGTTCGACCTTGTTTTCTGGATCGATGCTACAAACGAAGTCACGATCAAACAGAGCTACAAGAGTGTTGCTTCTACGGTCTTTCCCGATGACCCTGGAGACGGCAAGTCAATGCCTCGAGTGCTGGACTGGCTTTCTGAAACCGTTGAAGACTGGCTCATGGTCTTCGACAATTGCGGAGCCGAGCCTTTGACGAGCAGTCTACCGTCGAGACGAAAGGGAAACATCCTCTACACTAGCAGGTATGATCTCCGTGCTAGGTTCACCTCGGACGCCGTGGCAAACATCAACGAGATGGAGCTGGATGACGCGATCCTCTTGTTACTGAAGACGTCCTCTGGCTGGGACTCGCCCGAGATCCTTGGAGGTCACGAGGCCGCAAAGTCTGTTGCGGTTGCGCTGGGTCGACTGCCGCTGGCTCTCGACCAAGCTGGTGCGTATATGCGAGAGAAGCAATGCTCGTTTGAGGATTATTTCCGACTCTACTGGAAGCAGAAAGACACTATTCTCCAGAACCCTCTCGTCAAAGGCGCGGTAGCCGAGAACCTGGCGGTGTATGCTACATTTGACATTTCGTTCGAAGCGTTGGAAGAGAGATTCAAGGAGCAGAGACATTCGCAAGATGGTCTCGCTGCCCGAGGCGCCTTGCAAATACTCAGTATGATCTGCTATTACCATAACCACAACGTGTTGAGGGAGACTGTCGGGCGAGCTGCTCGAACACGCCATAAGACTGACCGAGGAATACATTATCCTTTGGGCAACGGCGACTTCTCACTCGAGCATCTTGTTGAAATGGAAGAGGGTGTGTGGAATCCAACAAACTTCGACCTGGGGCGTGACCTCCTTGCCAGCTACTCGCTCATCAAGATGGACACCCACGGCGAATACATATCTATGCATATCTTGCTGCACTCGTGGGCGCGATCCAAGATGGAGCAATTGAGCAAGTCGACAACAGGCGGTTCAGCTCGGGCTCTGCTTTTTGACTCGATACCCTTCAGTCGAGCACAGAAAGACTTCATCTACCGCCGTAAGTTGGCTCCTCACGTGGACGCCTGCGAAGAATATGTGAAGCTCAAAAACCCCGATGACCTTCTGGAGAGCGAGTACGATGGCAGGCTGGCCGTGCTCAAGAAGGAAGCCGGAATGTTTGATGCTGCCGAGGCTCATCTCGAGTCAGCGATTGCCAAGCGGAGGGAGGTGTATGGAGCCGACACTGTTCCAATCATTTCGGCTATTGAGGGGCTCGCAGATGTGTATGAGGCACAGGGCAGGTATGCCGACGCAGCCGACAAACTCTACGAGGCGATTGAACGACGTGGTGGGCTTCCCAAAGACGACCAGCGCAACCTCACCAAGTTGATCAGGGACAAAGAGGATTTGGCGGGGGTGCTCATACTACTTGATCAGAGAGAGGCCGCAACGCAGCTACTGGAAGAAGTAGTCACGGCGAGAGAAAAGATGTATGGACCCAACTCCATGGACAGCTGGGGCCTCATAGCTTCGAGAGAGTCTCTCCAAAGAACTAGATCTCGACAGAGCGACAGATATCTGGACAAAGAAGACCTAGAGGCCAGCATCGAAATCCTCGGGCATGCCGAACGCTTATGCGGCTCAGATTCCACTGCGGCAATGTCTGCCAGACGATCCGTTGCTCTGGCCCTTGCACAAGCGGGGCGATACCGTGAAGCTGAGAAACTCTACATGGAGATCTACGAGCACTTCAAAGAGCTCCGTGGCGAGTCCGACCCATACTCGTATGCGATCGTTCACTGTCTCGCCGGTGTGCTGCAAGACCAAGGGAGGCACCTCGAGGCAGAAACGCTGTTCCGAAGCTATTTCGTGTTCAAATACCAGACTCTTGGCAAGAGGCACTTCGACACGCTGGGCGCTCTCATAGGTCTAGCCATGTCCTTCACTCACCAGGGACGGTTCATGGAGAGTGAACTTTTGATGCAGAAGGTGCACGATTACTTGGAGGCGCAGTTCGGCAGCACACACGTGCTTGTAGAAGAGGCCAAATCCTTCCTTAACCAAGCGGCAAGGGCGCATGGGATGTGCCAGGAGCTTTTACGACGAAAATGCACAGAAGCGGCCCTGGCAGCTTCAAGAGCCGCGCTGGGTGACCTCATGCCTCCTGACATCGACATGATCATGGCAATCATGCCGCAGACTTTTTCTGGTGAGTTACCCGAGTGGGACTTTCTCACCCCGAGAGATATCCAGAGGATTCAAGAGAGCATACCCGATCCGGTCTTGTTCTGTTCCCAGCTGCAAGAGCCTCTCACAGAAGAGTTGGAGATGGAGATCCTGGAGAAGTGGCTCAAGAGCAAGGCAGAGCAGTTGAAGTTGAATGACCCCGAAACAACCTAGAACTAGTATAGACAGAATGAATGGATTAATCGACTGTCTTGAGTAAAAGCTCTTTAATGTCCTTTTGATTTGGATTGCCAAATAGTGAGCCTGACTTGTGTCATGAAGGCAGACTGTTGTTGTTGCATTCAATTAGTTAAGCATGTTTCATGGTAGTAGGCACTAAGGATTCCAATCTGTGAGTTTGGGTGGGGCGGTCAGTGATGAACAATTACAACACCACGACCAGGCAGTGGTGAAGTTCCAACCTCGATCCTCAATTCAAATAATTACCACAGACGCTCACAGGAGCAGCATCTTTGCCAAATTCCTCAATCGTGCTATTGGAACGAACGGCATCTTCAGGTACCAGTGCATTCAGCCAAAGGCCTGCTCGTTCGGAACGGGCTGAGAAAAGAGAATGCGTGCCTCGGCTAGACGATTAATGGCTTCGGCCATGCCGTCCACGGGGCTGAGGCCAGAGCAGATGGCTCTGCTGCCGCCCATCCCGCTGTATCGGCGTCTCCTCCGGGCTCACAGAAAACATCTGCCGCACGAGATGCGCCTCTTGGGAGATGAGTATATCAAGGCAGAATTCCGGGCGCATAGAAATGTCGACAACCCTGCACATCTGGTATGTCGCCTGTGTCTCTGTGATGAACTGGCTACAGTCGTCACCCAGGCGTGCCGATGCCCTATTAATCTATTCCTTCACCAGATCGGCTTCTTAACCGAGTGGCAACTATATGCGCAAAAGATCGAGGGGGACAAATGGGTCGGTGAGAAGTTGGATCCCACCAAGATTGAGAAGATGAGTGGTAAGCATGTCCTGGACGATCTGAACATTCAGGGTATTAAATGGCCTTTAGATCAACAGATCGGTCAACTCTATGAACTGATGAAAGCGATCCGTAAGAGGGAGCAAGGGGAAGGAGAAGAGGCCTGAGCTGAGCCGGACTCGATGGATTTGTATGACGTTTTTGTACAGCATAAACACACACCATTGTATGATACAGCTTGAGACGGAAAGACAAATCATGTCGTATTGGGTATCTAGAGACTTTATACTCTAGCAACGTTCAAAGCGAAATCTGGCCGAGCGAGGTCTATCGTGCTGTCATGCCTCGAGCCCTCTCAAGTGTGTCCGCAATCCACCCGGCTTGGATGGCCGTAACCTTCTTGGCATAGTTCTTTTGGGTGAAGACGTGTTCTAGGAACATGATTGCCTCTCTCTTTCCCTGCCCATGCAACACGCTGGATGGATGGATCGCAACGACATGTTTTCCGTGACTGGTGACATAACTCCCGTCCGGGGCCAGCATTGCCGTCTTCAAGGCAAATCCTTCCATGAAACATTTGATCAATACCTCGGCCCTCTCTGGAGCAACCGGCTCAAAGGGTTGAGGATCTGGCGCAGGTGCTTCCGCAAGCATTTTCTCCTTGAGGCACAAGCCGCGAAGTTGCTTGCGGATGTTCATGGCTTGCCTCATATTTCTAATGTTGATTTTCCGCAATTTGCACCACTCCATTCGGTTGGTATTCTCTGCTGTGTACCGCCGCATGGTCGTCAGATACGTGAGGAGATCACCTTCTCGTCGATACAATTCCTGTCGATGAACCTCCACTTCCTCCCTCATCTCCTCCGAATCAAGTTGGTGGAAGATATCTTCTCCGGCGGTGATGCATGATATGACATCAATGGCCTCCAAAAGGCAGTCGTATTGTGGCTCGGCCGCAGCGAGGAGCACTCGTGCATAGGGTGCAGTCACCGGAAACCGTGCCATCTTCTTCCCCGCGGGGGTGATTGAGCCATTTTCCGACAGCGCGCCTAGGTAATACAGGTGGATGAGCGCTTTCTCGAGAGATTCGATATCTGGCATGTCCATCAAGGGAAAGCCCAAGATGTTATCGATGCCTCTCGATTTCATGACCAAGAGCGCTCCAAGGATGTCGGTGCGAAGGATCTCGGGTGGTTCAATATCCTTGAGGTCTTCAAATGTTTCCTTCGTATAGAGCCTGTAGCACTTTCCAGGGCCTTCTCGTCCAGCTCTACCTGACCTTTGTATAGCTGACGATTTCGAGATGGGTTTGGCCAGCAAGGACTCCATGCCTAACCTGGCTCTAAACTGTTTGACCTTGGCCTTGCCACAATCGATCACGTATCTGACACCAGGGACGGTGACCGATGTTTCGGCGATATTCGTAGCCAGGACTACCTTCCTGGTGAATTTTTCCTTGACAGGTTGGAACGCCTGTTGCTGGGCTTCAAGCGACAACTGCCCAAAAAGGGGGAAAACCCTCATCTTTGGGACATCTGAAGGAAGCTTACTGGCTTCCTCCTCCAGGATTTTCTGTGCGGCTTCGATCTCCTCTTGTCCTGTGAGGAATGCGAGTATGTCGCCAGGAAATGGATCTTGTGCATGGATTTTGAAGGCCATCTTGCAAAGTGCGTCTTGGATATCTGGGACGGGTTTGGGGAGATGAATAATATCGACCGGATATTGTCGTCCCGGGATCTGAAGATACTCCACGACTGAGCCAGGGGAATGGGTAGAGTTCGACTTTGATCCATCCTCTTTCTCCTTGCCAGCAAAGAAATCTTGAATCTGTTCCACGTTTGCAGTCGCACTCATGATGACAATCTTGAGTGGGTTGTCTGGCCGCTCTTGGTTCTTTGATGCTTGAATCTGTTTCAGGAAACCCAGAAGCAGATCCACGTCCACGCTCCTCTCGTGGACCTCGTCGACGATAACGGCACTGTACTGCCGTAGCTGGGGATCATGCATGAGCTCCTGGAGTAGCATTCCCTCGGTCATGAACTTGATTCTGCTACCTCGGGGAACATGATGGTCGAACCGCACCGAATAGCCTACAAGTCCCTTTTGACTGCCACCTCCGATGGGGGTTCCGACTTCCTTGGAAACACGATGCGCCAGTGTAGTGGCTGCAACGCGTCGAGGCTGTGTGATGGCAATCATGCCACGGCACCAGGATTCCTCTAGCAGGAACTGCGGAATTTGAGTGGACTTTCCTGAGCCAGTTTCACCAACAAGAATCAGAACATTCTTGTGGCGCAAGATCTGCTTGACATCCTCACGACTAGACCAAATGGGCAGAGCCTGCCGCTGCTTCAAAAAACTCGGCTCTCCGGTTCGTGACGCTCTAATCCGATCCTGACGGTGTGTCCGGGAAATCTGAGGGGAAATCTGGGCGGGGATTTCCGGCTTGCTCTCGTGAGACGGCTCAGCGTCTGAAGCGCCTGTCGGCGTTTTTCGCTGGCGAGGTTCCGGCTCATTAAGATAGCCTGCAAGAGAAATGGTACGGTTACCAAATGTCACGATGGAACCAGGAGGTTTTCTCTTTGTCTTTCTCTTCCTAGCCGCTGGCTCGAGAGACATTGTGAGGTCTGAAATGAAATGCTGCAAGGTGTCGATGGCTGTCAAAGTTGATGATTTTTCTGTTCTATCGTGGCGATTTGTGTCACGTGACCTTGTGACTGAGTTGCCAAAACCAGGGACAAATTTATTGAGGTTAATCTATTCATTGACCAAGACCATGTAAGTAGAGGGTATAGAAACGTAGTTTATAGCCTTCGATAGAATTGATTGATGGACTAGGGGCTCTATTTCTTCATTCAACCGAGATACTGCGTTCCATGGGGTCCTCATACTCTCCTCGCTCCCAGATGTGTCAGCCGGAAAGATCTACTCTCCGAATCACAGCATAACAGACTGAGATCTCTCGCTACAATAGAATTACCCAGTAGAACTTCATGCCATACTCTACATCCACCAGGATGAACAATTACTCGTAGGGCTTGAGCCTTATCCTGTTCATGCGGATCCCGTCATCGACAGCGTCGCTCTGTATGGGGCTTGTGGTCAGTCGTTTTCTTCGGTGTTGCTATAGATGGTCAAGACTCACCTTTGCTGTGATTCTGTCGATAGTCTCAATCGAGTGCTCAACCTGCTCTTTATGAGCAATGGCGAGAGCCTTGATCTTCGTCATTCCAACTTCCATCTTTTCGTAATTGGCGTCAATATCATTTTCAATCTGTTCATCCTCCTCGGCGAATTGCGCCTTTGCACCAGTATCAGAGGTTGGACCAGGACCGTTTCGGGGTCCGGTTGGTCCATCCTCGTCGTCGCTTTCGGGCATAAGGAACTTAGCGTTATTGGCCGCTCTTCGGACAGTAAGTGAATCACTAGTTGCTTGACTTCGCCGATCCATCTCTTTCAGATCTCGGAATGTGTCTTCCATTTGCTTCTCGACAGCAAAGGCTTCTCGGCGGGTGGCTTCACGCTGGTTTCTGTCGGACCGGTGCTGGTCCAGTAGCTTCTGGTCGCGCTCTTCAGCCCGCCGCTTTGACTTGAACGGGTTTGCCACAGAAACGGCGAACATGCTTCGATTTTGATGCTTCAACTCTCGAGTCTTTTCTTCTGCCTTTCGATTGTGGATCGATGCCATGTCGAGATTCTTCTCCGTGTTGGCAAGACGTTCATTCTGGCCAGCCAGTGTAGTGAGGGTCGAGCCAGCTTGATCAATGATTTGATCCATCCGATCCAGAATCCTGTTGCTGGTTGCATGAGACTCATTCCTGACCTGCCGGATCTCGTTCTTCATGGCACGTAGTTCTTCCTTCTCTCTCTCCTCCTCAGTCAGCTCCCGCTGTTCTCCGTAACCTCCATATGTGCCGGGATCACCGTAACGCCCCGTAGTTCCGGCCGCGGAACCTGTACCGTACCCATTTGTGGTAGCAGTTTCGACCTGTTTGGCGGCCCTCGCTTGGGCATCCCCGAAAAGATCATCCTTGTTGGTATATTCGAATCCTCCATAGCCTCCGCTGCGTTGAGCGCCATTCGACAGAGAAGATGACGCTGCATAGGGATTGCTAGTAGAGATTTGTCGGTTCGCTTGGAAAGCAGCAGCATTGTCGGCGTACGGATTAGATCCGTAGCCACCAGGTCTTCCATATTTTTCCGAGGCGTATCCAGTTGACTGCTGCGCCTGCTGGGAACTATATGGAGGTGGAGGGCCGCCAGCACCAGCACGAGGACCGGAAGGCAGACCGACTCCGGGACGCTGACCAGCAGCCTGCCGGGCCCGTACTTCCTGGTAGGGCGTCATCGGGCCGGAATAAGAGTCGCCGGCAGAGTTCTGAGCATATGGATTGTCGCTCTGAGTGTTCTGGCCAGCCTGCGATGACTTCTTCCGTCCGAAAAGTCCTGATCGATTCGAGTCTTCGTCGGCGTCGCCAGACTTGCTGCCAAACCCGAACTTTCCCATGGTGGACCACTGGTATATAGGTTCAGCAACAATCCAAGAAAGAGTATAATGGAGGGAATTTAGGCAAAATAATGTTGTGGGTTTCGTGATCAAACAGCAATGCGACAGCGTATGGGTTGGAGCGGGAAAGACAACGGCTTCAATGTGTCGACAACGATGGACTTGAGTTGTCTGAGGGAGGTTTCGAGATAGGGGCGGGAGGAAAGATAGCGGTCTGGGGCGGCCTCTGGCCTTCAAACCATGATCTGCGGACTGGCATGGTCCAGCATAACGCTGAGACTTAGCGTCCTGTGGCCAGTGTCGCCACTTGGAGGGTCCGTCCCAGACGCTGAGGCAGGTCTGCCCAATTCTGGTTTGGAGGGTGGAGGTGGGTGGAACCTTGCAACATGACGGCGAAACACGAATGGGTAAACCACATTGTGAACGCTGGGAAACGAATGCTGAGGTGGCATTGGGGACTGGGCCAGAATCTCACCTTTGGGATTCGTATTCCACACCCGTATTTTGCCCATTTGGATGGGCGCTGCACCCACGGCTCATCGTGGCTGGCTAAGGTGGTGCCTGTCCAGGCGGTATTCGTCCGCTCCGGGCGGGGCTGCTCATCGTTGCCGAATGTACTGGAGCCTGTCAGAGTGACTCCTGTCCAGGATGTGTCTGTCCGTCGTGGCGGCGCGGGTTCTTTCTCGTCAATTATCTCGGCAGGAGCCATCCTGACGACTCTCGGGACGAAAAAGTGTTGATGATTAGGAACAAGTGCATTCGGTGGCCATTTTCTGAACGAAAAATCATCTACATATGACTTCTCGATAAAGAAAGGGAAAGGCACTCTTCCCTCCCTTCCAAAAGTGGGAGTAGATAGAATGCGACTTTTCAGAATGCGCTGTTTTGGTGGCAATGAGACGTACCAGGCTATCTGAGCATCAGCTGAAGCCAAAAATACGTGGATTTTGGTGGAGGGTGTGACTCCTCTTCTTTGTTCGGTCTGACTTGGCTGCCAACCAGCGTTCAGGACATTTGCTGGACTACTGCGTTCGTAGCTTCAGCCTACACGTGCATTTCATCTCAAGCTGCCGCTGCCAGCCTCAAATCAGATTTGCTTGCATCTGACTTCATTCCTCCTGGACTGGTAAACACTGCATCTTATCCCGACTGACATCTGCACTATGCATCACCTCAATTGAACCCCGGCCGCCTGAGCAATCCTCCTTGAGTGCTTGAGCATCCCTTGTCATTTCACCATTCTGGGCACAGAGCTCTCTCATACAAGATGATCACTCAAATACACCAACAATACACCAACCCAATGTCGATATTATATGCAATAGCTTTGTCTATCCTGGTTTATTGTTTATAGAAGTGCACAACGAGCCAGCCAGCGCTTAGGAGGGAGCTGCTTTGGATAGCTGCTTTGGAATTCCTTGGGGCCGATCACCGAGCAAACACGAGCAAACACTCGCGCCACAGAGATACACACACCACCACCAGATCGCCATGTCCGTTTTCACCTTTGACCCCAACCCACAAAGAGTGTCCTCCCCGTGGCTGCCAGTAGAAGCTAGCACAGAACACGGGCCGACAGAGCGCTCTCACACCCCGGCAAACCCGACCCACAGCCTACTCTCTGAGTACGGGGTCACCCGGCTGCCCCCGGAACCCCAGGAAGGACCAACAGAATACAAATTACATCTCCTCCTCCGCTCCAGGAGGACATACACTTACACAAGCACAGCTCCGCTGGGCTCGCGATCCGCAACCCCCAGCGAGACCGGCGCTGAGCCGACAAGCTTGAGATATGGACGTGGCGGACCGGCGTCCACCCACTCCCAGCTGGATCGCCTCATCCAACTGACAACACAGCTCCTCTGGAGACTGCGGCAGACATGCCCCTACCATGCATCTACTTCTTCGAGCGATCTAGTCGTTCCAAAGCTCGTCGGCACCAACTTCGATCTTGCTCAACCACCCAAGTTGGCAAAGGTCTGGCCTGGACTCGAGGAGTCGAGGGGTGCGCTTTACGAGATCGGTGTTGCCGATGATGGAACACTGGTCGGTCTTACTCAAGACGAGCTTGGTGAAAGTATAGCCAGGCTGCGAGCTATGGCCGCTAGCTTGGGCTGCGACGTTGAGGTCTTGCGCAAGGTTATTGTTGGCAAGTGTGAATGGGGGGACAAGCCCTCGCTGTCTGCTTCTCCATTACATGCACTATCTCCAAATCTTCATCAGGATGATCTCTGGGTTGCCGAGGCCCTGGTGCGCCCGGTCCTCGAGTCCAGGCAGGCCAGCAGAGAACAAAGCGAGGCCGTTGTTGACGAGACTTATCAACACCAAGCCACGCCGCAAACATCCAGTGCGGGTAGTGAGAACCAGCTCCGGGTGACCTTGACCGGTCCCACGACATCTGGGAAAACCACGCTGCTGGGAACCTTGTCTACTGGCACGTTGGATAATGGCCAGGGCATGAGCCGGCTTAGTCTTCTCAAGCACCGCCATGAAGTTGCTTCAGGAGTCACGAGTTCTGTCACGCAAGAGCTCATTGGTTACCGAGGCAGTGACATCGTCAACTATGCAAACCAGCAGATCGAGTCCTGGGTTGGGATCCATGACTTTACTGGGGATGGCCGTTTGGCTTTCGTCTCCGATGTGGCGGGTCACCCACGATATCGTCGGACCATTCTGCGTGGCATTGTCGGCTGGGCGCCTCAATGGACGTTGCTGTGTATAGCTGCCGACGATGCGGACTCTCGTGCCGCCACACCAGGTCCCGAGGGCCTCGGCCCTGACACCGGCGAACTCGACTTGGCGAAAGCTCACTTGGACTTGTGTCTCAAACTGGAGCTGCCTCTTGCCATCGTCATCACCAAGCTCGACCTGGCGAACAAAGCTGTTTTGCGTTCGACACTTGAAAAGATCTGGACTAGTATCAAAGCAGCCGGGAGGACGCCAAAGCTCCTGCCGTCAACGCAAAGAAGCTCCGCCGACATGCCCGTCGAGATCGCAGCCAGTGATGACAGGGTGGTTCGCGAAGCCTTACGAGGGATGGCAACAGCCAAAGACTTTCTCACGACAGTCCCTGTGGTCCTGACCAGTGCAGTCAGGGGTGATGGGGTTGGTCTGGTGCATGCATTACTCAAGAATCTGCCGCTCCCTCCGCCACCAACAGCTCACGACCTGACAGGTGTGGCGCTCAATCCCGAGCAACCAGCCAGCCTGTATCACATTGAGGAGAAGTTTAGCCTTCCCGCAACCTACGCAGCCACTGGTGCAAGTGCTGAGCAACAAGATGATGCTGGCACCGTTGTGGCGGGTTATCTGCGTTTTGGCAGCCTGGCTGTGGGTGACCAGGTAGTCGTCGGCCCATTCCCTTCCGAAGAAGACGATGAACCCACCTTTACTCCGGAAGACCGACCATCCCCAGGCAGCTTCGGCCTTTCCCTATCGCACCCATCGTCTTCTGAGCTCAGTCGCGTCGCCCTACGAAACGCGATATCAGCATCAACCATCAAAGGCGAATGGCACAGTGCCCGCATCGTCACCATCCGCAACCTACGATTGCCGGTTGAGACGCTCGCACCAGGCCAGGTGGGTACTATTGGACTGGTATTTGAGCATCCGCAGGAGGATCTTTCGGACAGCATCTTTGAGAGGCCAGCCCGACCTGTGTTGAAGATCCGGAAAGGGATGGTGCTGGCTATTCCTAGCAAGCATATGATTGCTACCGGGCTGCAGCTCCAGGCTGCTAGTGGCCTAACGGCAGTCTTTACTGATCAGGATGTTGGAGACCTGGCTTATGGGGTCTCGGTCACCATCTATGTCGCCAGCGTTCGGGTAACAGCCAGGGTAGCCCGTGTGATCGGCCCTATTGCAGCACACCCATCCAGCTCGGGTGACATGGAGAGTGCGGACGATATGTTTACGCTTTCTGATCAGATACCGGGCGAGGCCCCTTCGAAACTAGAACATACCCCAAACACTTTCGAAGTCAAATTCGAACTGCTTAATACTCGGGAATGGATTGAGTTGGGGTCTCGAATCGTGATACTCGAGGGCGCCAACAAGGATGGATCTGCATTGAGCGGCTTCGTGGGTAGAGTTGTTGAGATAGTGGATTAGTGACGAGCACAATTACTTTCATCTTATCATCTTCTTTTGCTTTTTGTTATTTGGGATGAGTATATTGATGTGTACTCATAATCTCCACGATTACCCAGTGTCATCACGCAGTGGGCCCCAAGATTCTGCTTTGCGACGCCAATTCTGGTCAGCGGCGTGAGCACCCAAATCATCGAACTTGATTCTGTATTTTTGACTCCTTGAACTCCAGTCGTGCCCAGTGATCCATCAAAACATGATCTGCAGCTCCTGTCTCAACCGTCCCCCTCCAAGCTCATGCCCGCACCAGACCATAGAACAGCGTCCAAGTTAGGATGAAGCCCGCCAGTCCATTGAACAGACCGCCTGTCCAGAACTCAAAGGGACCGCGGAAGTATCTGCTCGTATCAAGCGGCGCCTTGCCGGCCGGTAATGATGTGGGCGCGACGCGCAGCGTGTAGAAGAGGGCGGCGGTGAGAAGGGAGAAGATGATGTAGAATAGAAAGCCGCTGTAGGACTCGAGGCCGAGGATGCCGGCGGCGACGCCGAAAAGAGAGGCTGTGAGGGTCTGCAGGTTGGACAGGGTCTATCGCCATGGGCTAATGTTAGTATTGTGAATTATGCATTTGGCGATGTTGGTCAGGGTCGGGGGTCGCGGGCTGACCTTGGTGTTGTGCATCACCGACTCCTGCACGATGGGAGAGATCTGGAGCTCCTTTTCTGAAGGCATGGTGTGTGCGTGTGTCGTGTGCTCGCGCGTGGAGGAGCAAGCTGGTCGTATGGTGAAGCTATTCGTCCTAGGTAGACGACGTTGAATGCACAGCTTGGCTTCAGAGCATTGGTCTCCAGTGGCGGCCCAGATTGGCATGGTGTCCCACTCAATTAGCGCCAACTCCAGCTCGGGTCAGCACTGTTTACGAGGGCACCCGCCACGGTTCGGCGTGTCGGGCCTTTGATTTTTCCAAGATGACGTCTCATTTCATTCCAGTAGTTCAGGCTATGCGCCACCATCTAGCGCCGGAGCTGCCTGCGTACATGGGGGCGGCGCCGGCGCATGGGACCCAAAGCACCCCAGCACGGAGGCACATGCACAAAACACACCCACGCCCGCAAGCTCTCGCGAACCCTTCTAGATCCACGACACCCCTGCAAGGCCGAAAGCAGAAGCTGTACAAGTGGCCCAACCTGGCGATAGGGGACTCGACTTTCCCCGGACGATACGGACCTGCGCGGACCTCGACCTCTTGAGCCTCCCGAGCTGCGCGCCGACCCCTTTCACCACCCGATCTGCGACACTTTATACGCAGGTCTCCAGATCGTCCCGCTTCCACGCGCAATAACAACAACGATAGTCTTGTGTCACTGTGTCGCGCATTGGTGTGGTGGATGATGCGTCGCTGCCACGGCCTCCGGTAGCACCACCTCCCCCCTCAACAACATATTAATGGAGACCGTTGTCTTTGATCAGTCTCCCCTGGCTGATTACCTTCGGGGTGAGTCTCTGCTCGGCGCTGATATAGAAAAAGCTTCTCACATCTGAGAATATGGTATCCCCAATACTGACGCGCGGTCTCGTGACAGATGAGGGAGAGGTTGACCAGAAGGACTGGGCACAGGCCGAACCCCAGCGAGACGTACACACCCCGCCGCCCAGCCCTCCGAGCCCGTCCTTCGCTCCGGTAGGGCGTCCGCTGGTGAAGAAGCGGTTCCGGAACCAAATACCCAACCCGCTGAAGCTCGACGTGCCCCGAAGTACATCGTTATCCTCCTCGCTTCACAACAGTTACTCCAGGGCGGTGGTCTCGCGCATCGACCGTGCCGACAACTCCAAGTTCATAGAACAGTTCCGATACACCATCATCGCCTCCCAGCTATTGACCGGACATTCGGCTCTCGGAGTGCAACACCGGCCGTCAACACAAGATGGATCCGCAAAAGCTGGGGAACACGATGCGCTGGCCCCGACTACGGCCGGCCTGATGGTCGCTGCGGCAGCTGCGGTGGCGCTCGCGTGGGTGATCAGCTGGGTGTATATGGGAGGGTATTCGTACCTCACCAAGAAACGAGTCTTTGTTGTGCTTGGGCTGCTGGTGGCAGTCTCCGTTCTTGGGCACGCCTACATTCGGCAACAGTGGCTGCGTTACATCAGGAGCCAGGCTCTGAATGAAGTGACCAACTTTGTTACCAGGTCACAAGACTTCGACAGTGCAACCAGCGCCGCTGTGGGGTTGATCCAGGAGGTCGAGCTGGTTTCGCGAGGTTACAGACTCAGCACGCCTCTTCCGCCCGTCAGCCGGATCGACGATCGCAGCCAGTCCCGCCGCTGCAACCGTCTGCGAAAGGTCGTCAAGAAGAGCTTCTCCGATCTGGTTCAGAAGTACACACACACTTCTACCGTGGTTAAGAGCTTCTCGGAACAACTAGACCTGGAGAAGTATTATGACATCTACGACATCAGCGATTTCGACATGTCGGATGCCATGCAGGGGTTCTCAGACAGCGAGTTTGAAGACCCGGAGTCGCTGCGCACCCTGAAAGTTGTCGCCGCCCGGTTCCACACGCTGCGTAAGATGTTCTTGTGTGCCATACTTGCATTGGAAGCGCACGGCGACAACTCGGACTTCCTGCGATGGACGACGGCCGTTGAGGCGCTGCGGAGCTTGAGTACCGTCACTGGGGAGAATTACGAACGCATAAGGACGATTCTCAGCGAAGAGGAGACCTTCCCGAGTGTTCCAACTCCTAAAATGCCCCTCTCTCCAGGCCGCGAGAGGTGGCGATCGTCACTCCGAAAGCTAGATTCCCTCTCGACGGGGATCCGCGGTCTGCAAGCAAAGTTGGTTCTTCTCAGGGAAGAATCGAGCAAGACTTTGAACGAAGCGGATGATGTCTCCGAGCTAGGGCCGAACCTGATGGCGCAGTATGATTCCATCGGGCAAGACCTCAAGATCCTGACGCAAGCTTGGGAGGAAGGCAAGGCGGCACTAGCCTCTGGCATCGACCGCAACGAGAAGCGGCTCTCTTCTATAAGCAGCGTACTTTCGCCGTCGACTTCCCTCAGTGGCATCACGACTGTGGACGAGGGCGGAGTCAGCGATGCGCTTAAGGCCTTGAATGGCGGCTCCCCTTCGAGCAGCGCGATGAGCAGCCCGACGCCGGAGGTGGAGGAAGTCTTTGAGGCTATCGCCATGCCCAGTCGGCCAAAAACCATGCTCAGCCGAGAGGAGCGCCTCGTCAGGATGAGAGAAGACCGCGAGAAACGTGCTGAAGTCAGGGAGCGTTCCGAGGCCAACAAGGGCATGCTGCGCGAGCTTGAAATGGTCATCAACCTTCGACCTAAGCCGCCTACCCGGGTCAACAACGCACCCGCCTCGGGACGGGTCTCGTTATGAACACTGACTGACCATCGTTATGACGTCTACACGATTTTTCTTTTATGTCAACAAACATTGGCGCAACATTTGACTTCTCTATCGAACTATCACGGAGTCTCGTTTTCCCCGCCTTGGAGAACAACGCTGTACAATAGGCATCTGTTTTTTGTTCTGGGTACATAGACATGGGCAGGGTATTCTGGGACTTCGGCGCAACTGCACTTGCGTACATACAACGCAGATCACTGACGTATCTCCATTTCCTTTCTTTACCTACTTCTACCCCTTTTCTCTTCTACTACATCAGCACATACAGCACTGTGCGTGGCATAATTTCTATTTGTGTATAACGATAGCACACAAGGTAGCAAACACATAGCAAACGGGGACGAATAAGATTGAACAGCTACACATCAAACATACTTTCGAACACAGTGATATGAGAGCAGTCCGCATGGCAGGCCAAAAGAAAAGCGAGTCATCAATCCGTTGACCTATCCCCCTTGCAACAGGGAGGCTCTGCGCAGGCGTGGACATATTGCTGGCTGGCGGCAAGTTAGTGCTTTCAATAAGTGCCAGGCACCAGCACCGCTACGCTGGCTGGTGGGCCCGATGAGTGAGTGCCCCGCGATTTTCAAAGAGTGTGTGCGCATCAATTAAACTCGACGCGTCAAGCTCGCGCGGGGCGCGACGAGGGAGGGGACGTGTCGTTCTTTACCTTAGGCCTACCCACCAAATCAAACCAACCCATCATCACATCAGCTGGCACATGCACACCAAACTTTCTCCTGCTCGTACCAAAACAACCTTGCTTCTATTTTGACAGATTGGTCTTGGACGAGATCGAAACACGCCTCTGTAACGTGAGATATCATTCACTGTTGCAATCCCTGATTTGACCCCGACCTTACTCCTCTCTCTTCCCTCACTCGACACTCATCCCAGAAATACTCCTCACACACAGCAACCATGTTGGAAGCACGATTGGAGCAAGCCGCCATCCTCAAGAAGGTGAGAAGATATAATCCATGACACTGAGATGGAAAATGTCTGGTTCGTCGCGGCGTGCTGTACTGACATTTCACCTCGCCAGGTTGTCGATGCGATCAAGGACCTGGTCCAGGACTGCAACTTTGACTGCAATGACTCGGGCATTGCCCTGCAGGCCATGGACAACAGCCACGTCGCGCTTGTCTCCATGATGCTGAAGGCTGAGGGCTTCTCCCCCTACCGATGCGACCGCAACATCGCCCTCGGCGTCAACCTGACCTCCCTGACCAAGGTCCTGCGCGCGGCCCAGAACGAGGACATCCTGACCCTCAAGGCCGAGGACGCGCCCGACAGCCTCAACCTCGTCTTCGAGAGCTCCGAGAACGACCGTATCTCCGAGTATGACCTCAAGTTGATGGACATTGACCAGGAGCACCTGGGTATCCCCGAGACCGAGTACGCTGCTACCATTGCCATGCCCAGCTCCGAGTTCAGGCGCATCTGCACCGACCTGCTGGCCATGTCTGAGTCTGGTAAGGCTTTTGGTTCCAGCAAATCCGGCGCTACAAGTGCATAGCTAACCACTCATTTTTTTTTCTTCTTTCACAGTTACGATCGAGGCGAGCAAGGACGGCATCAAGTTCTCCTGCAACGGTGACATCGGTAATGGCTCTGTCACCCTGCGATCGCACACCAACGTCGAGAAGCCTGCCGAGAACATTGACATTGAGCTTACTGAGCCCGTGTCTCTGACTTTCTCCCTCAAGTACCTCGTCAACTTCTGCAAGGCCGCCGGCCTGTCCAACCAGGTCAAGATCTGCCTGTCCAACGAGGTTCCCCTGCTGGTCGAGTACACCCTGTCTGGCAACAGCTACCTGCGGTTCTACCTCGCCCCCAAGGTATGTGCTTGGTCGCGTCCTACGCTGTTTTTTCCGTCTCCCAAATAAGCTGCGTGCGGTACTAACTGATGTCAACTCTAGATCGGCGATGACGAGTAAACGAGGTCAGAAGATGCAACGGCAAATTAATGAGAACTTTTTACACGGCGTGAATGGCTTTGGCTTCCATGGATAAGGAAGCAAAAAACTGCTTTGGGGGCATGCATGGATTTTGTGAAGGGAGGGGACATCTCAAATAGAGGAGAACTTCTCATATTACGGAGCTTACGCGCCTGCATGGTAATGAATTCCATCTGTTTTTTTCGACAAATTTCAAATGCATGACTCTATCAACTGTGACTGCTCATTGCTCTTCTCTCGGAATGTCAGGAAGTGTCCTTGTCTCTCGTGTCGAGTCCACATACAGTTGCTATCTGGAGTGCGGGGCGCCATAGACAGGCAATCTGCGGGTCCGAGTCGGCGGGAACCCTCTGGAATTGTGGTTTTTTTCAGACGGAAACCGCCGATAAGTGCCCCGAGGAAACACTGCGTCCATTGTTAGTCACAGTGTCCCCGACTATCGCAAGGCTCAGAAGCTGCAAGTGACTCAAAAATCCTGCACGATCTGACCTCTTATAACTCCACAAGTGTTGCATGGAGCGCCACAACCGGATTTGTATAGATCTCTGCTCTCACTGTTCAGTAAATCTCTTAACTTGACAAGTCTTTGCTTCTACCAGCCCGGCGTAGGTCATTTAATCGCGGGGCATCGGGGGCCGTGACAACCCCAAGACTTACCTTTTCCCATCCCACATCGGTCGAGACCCGGCCCCTGTCCACACAGATGAGCGCCGAGCCCGCGGTGCCGGAAACCCGCGTCCTGGCGGTCGCAAGCCATGTAAGAAGCCTTGAGTCTTGCTTCAGTCGTGCGGGTTCATAATGAGCTAATATAGACCGCAGGTTGTCTCTGGGTGAGTGAGACCCTTGATGGATGTGTGGACGGGGCGAAGCCTTGGCACATACATGGCTAGGCTCTGAACGTGACTGACGACGTTTTCTCCGTTGCAGCAATGTAGGAAACAAGATCGCCGTGTTCGCGATGCAGTCGCTGGGCTGCGACGTGGCAGCGCTCAACACGGTACAGTTCAGTAAGGTCTCCCCCCCCCCTTCGTGTCGGGTTCGCACACTCGAGAGCTGACGGAAAGAAACCACACCACAGGCAACCACACGGGCTACAAGCAGTGGAAGGGCACGCGCGTCTCGGCGCAGGAGATCTCGGACCTCTGGGAGGGCCTCAAGATGTCGTACCTCGACGACTTTGACATGATGCTCTCGGGCTACGTCCCCGGCGCCCCGGCGCTCGAGGCCGTGGGCCGCATCGCCGAGGAGCTGCGGGCCCGGGCGCGCGACCGGCCCGGCAGCTTCTTCTGGGTGCTCGACCCGGTCATGGGCGACAACGGGAACCTGTACGTCGGGCCGGACGTGGTGCCCGCGTACAAGAAGCTGCTCGTGCACGCGGACCTGATCCTGCCGAACCAGTTCGAGGCAGAGTGGGTTTTCCCTTCACACCCCCCGTCCTCTCCCTGTCTCTCTAAATTCTTGACTGACACGCAAAACAAAAAAGACTCCTCTCGGGCGTGAGGATAGACAGCATGGCCACGCTCCACCGCGCCATCGACGCCATCCACGAGACGTACCGCGTGCCGCACGTCGTCATCACCTCGGTCAACCTCGCCCACGACGACCACCCGCCCCAGTCGCTGTCGGTCGTCGGCTCGAGCATGACCTCGGCGGGCAAGTCGCGCGCCTTCAAGATCGTCTTCCCCGCCATCGACTGCTACTTCTCCGGCACGGGCGACATGTTCGCCGCGCTCATGGTCGCGCGCATGCGCGAGGCCGTCTGGGCGGCGGCCGCCTCGACGGACGGGGAGGGGGACGGGGAGGGTGAGGCGCTGCGGCGGAGGCACAGCTGGCTCAGCGGCGACGGGGTGGACGCGCTGGACCTGCCGCTGGCCAAGGCGGCGGAGAAGGTGCTGGCCAGCATGCACGAGGTGCTGGAGAAGACGGCCGAGGCGATGGGCAGGGAGATGAAGGCTGTCAGGGCGGCGGCGGCGGCGGAGAGTGGCGGCGGTAGCCCTGAGGACGAGGCCAAGAGGATGCACCTGCTGCAGTCGCGGGCGGCGGAGCTGAGGCTCGTGCGCAACCTGGAGTCGTTGAGGAGTCCCAAGGTCGAGTTTCGGGCGAGGAGGATGTAAAGAGAGAGCAAAAGGGGGGCCGGGGGCCGCCATTTGGTTTGATGCTAGGAGGGACCTCCCAGGAGCCTAGAGCGAGCCCTTATAAGTGTGGTTAGGGCCGTCAGTTTGTCGGGGAGGAAAAGACGAGTGGACAATTTGGCAACATGGTCAGATTGGAATAGGGGCAGGATTAAAAGGTTGCAAAGGCAGGCCGAGGAGGACCCGAGTTCGATTCCCAGTGACGACAACAATTCGAAAAAAATCCCGACGACAACACAGACCACTACTCGACGACAGTGCGATCCTGTGCGGCAGCAAAATCCCAGTTAGGGATTTTCGTAGCAGACTCCCCTCCGGGTGAGTCTGTGAGCTTTTTGCCGGCCATGACACCCCCTTTTCTTTTTTGCGCATATTTATTGTTGGTGTTTTGAAACGCTGGCAGAGGTCTGGGATACGGCGGGCTTGGCATGGCTTCGTAGATTGAGCAGTGACGAGCATTGTTTTGGGTTTAGAAAGAGAGTGACGGGGAATAGGGGTGAATCATCTTGGTTGTATTAGCATTATGCATTGGGAGAGGCGAAGGGGCAAAAAGACAGGACGAGATACACTTCAACAGTAGATTTGCATGGCTTTGTTTTTAGATTCACCGTCTAATCGTACTTTACTCTCATGGCGAGACAAGCTAGCTTGCCTTCTCTATACGAAGCGTCATCCAGACATATGACATATACAGCCTGGTGTTGATCGCCCCTTTCAAGGTTCTCGGGTGCCCAGCCTTTGGGGCAACAGAAGCCATGTATGTGTGAAACGCCGATTCCACCCCAAACCAATTATTTCCCATGTTCATGACAAGACATCAACGTCCCTATTCCCGTCTTTTTCCCCCCTTCCCTGTTCCCCAGAGACGGGGGGGGGGATCAGTTCCATATTGCCACAACCATCTTTCCTAGTTGTGGCCAGTGCTGCCGAAGCCGCCGGCGCCGCGGACGCTCTCCTCGAGCTCCTGGACCTCCATGACCTCGGGCGTGTAGATGCGCTCGAGCACGAGCTGCGCGACGCGGTCGCCCTCCTGGATGGTGAAGTCGGCGTCGGCGTGGTTGAAGAGCAGCACCTTGACCTGGCCGCGGTAGTCGGCGTCGATGACGCCGGCGCCCGTGTCGATGAAGTGCTTGGACGCCAGGCCGGAGCGGGGCGCGATGCGGCCGTCTATTCGCAACCCAGGTCATCAGTCAACTGCCCAGTCTTTGGTTGAATGTTGCTCGTAGGGTGGGGTTGGGGAGGGGGGCAAGGGACCAACGCGGCAGGGCAGAGGAAGAGGACAGGGCAGGAGAGAGGGATGGAAAAGGAACAACGACGGCGTTAACGTACAGGTGCCGGCGGGGACGGCCATGGAGATGTCGGTGTCGACGAGGGCCTTGCCCCGCGCGGGGATGACGGTCTCGCGCGCGGCGTAGATGTCGTAGCCGGCGGCGAAGGCGCTGCCGCGCGTGGGCAGGCGGCCCTTGTCCGAGAGCTTCTTGATCAGCAGGGGCGGGGCCTGGTCGAGGGTCGTCACGGCCGCGGCGGCGGAGGTGCCGTTGGTAGCAGCAGCGGAAGACATGATGGGTAGGGCGGAGGAAGCGGCGTTGTCGGTCTTGACGCGCTTGGCAGGCGGGGAGGTCGGCGGCGATGCTACGGCTGCGGCGGTGGTGGGCTCTGCTTGCTGGGGGGAGGCGGAGGTGGTGGTCATGTCCTTGTGTTGGGGAAGAACGAGCTGGGTTGTACCTAGGGTGTAGTTTGCGGGAGAAGTTTGGGAGTTGGTCGAGTGTGAGGTCGAGAGAGGTTGATGTACGGGAGGCTGCAAGGTGGGATGAAGTGCAATAAGAGGGGCGGTGTGGAGGAGACGCGACGGGGACGCGCACAGCGCGTAAAGTGGTGTCCCGCGGGCAGTCAATTGGCCAATCAAGGGATGCGCAACTCTCTCCTTTCATTCACATGCTGCATCTTCTCTCCATAGCTGACAAGATACAGGCATGGTGAACGGTGCTTAGTAAGATAAGCTGCTCTGGTATCAAGGCGTCTATGTGCGAGATACAACATCATCAGAGAGTCTGTCACGACCATTTGCACTTCGCTCGAGAGACGAGAGCGCCTCCGCATGACCTGCCCTCAAATCAAGCATGAATGCCATGTATTGGAAACTTGGAATATAGCTGTAGGCTCTAGTCGTCCAAGTCTCGTCCAAAATCAATCAAACGTAACCTAGTCGCATCCTTCGGATGGAACTGAGCAACATGGGAGCGAACTAGGAATCGGGATGCGGCCGAGTCTCGCGGTATCCTGACATATGCCGCGGAGGCGTCGCCTTCTGATGCCATGAGGCTGTTCAGCAGTTCCTCCAACAGCCCTCGCAGCTCTTTACCAGCTGCAGCCGCCTCATTTCTTGGGCCCTTGCTAGACGCTCGCTGGTCTGGCTCGTTGCTACCCCAAATGTCGTCGATGCGACGTTGCCGTTTGTCCTGGTCTGGGTCTCCCTTCGTCTTCTTCAGCTTGCCCTGGGCGCTGAAGCCCGCAGCCAGGTCATCGGTATCGATCTCCATCATGTCACCGACTACCGGGCCGCCCAGCTCTTCTGCGGCCAGCATTGCGGCCACATGGTCGTCGATGAACTGGTTCAGAGACTTTAGGAGCTTGGACGTATCCTTGTCGAAGTCCCTCTTCTTCTGTTTCAGCTCACTCAACTTGTCCTGGGCAATCTGCTCAGGGGTCATGTCTTTCTTGGCCTCTGCTCCATTGCGCAGGGACTCGAGCCTTTTCTCGAGTTCCCGTTGCAATGCTTTCTGATCAGCGAGGTTAGCCTGTTCTACATCGAGCCGTTTGGTCGCCATCTCCAGCGTGGTCCTTTGACTCTCGAGATAGGACCGAGACTCGGCGATGATCTGATGCGTCTTGCGCATGGCAAGCAGAGCTGGCAACACAGACTCCCTGTGCGGGAAGAAGGGTTCGGATTTTGCGACATCATCATAGGCCCGCTTCAATATTTCTAGCGAAGCTTTCGCATCCCCCGGCCTGGGGTTTGCTTCTCGGAGTCGTAGCTAGGGGGTTTGATCAGTCCCGAGTCCATACAAAAAATAAAGCCATAAAGACTCAGGTATACGTATCGTACCTCATTCAAAGCTTGTTCTTGCTCCTTTACGGCATTCTCAAGCTCCCGGATGGAAGCATCCAGACTTGCCTCGTGAGCGGGATCCTCAAGACGCGGGGCGGGTCGCACCGATGTCTCCATGATGAGCACAGGATGGGTTCGTTCTAGCGAGGATCAAACTTGTCGCATGGCCTGGTCCTTCTGGAAGGAGGCTCAAGCACCGCTCAGGCCAGGTGGATCAGACAGAGCCAATGTTCAGAATGTTCAGGGGTGACAAGGCCACGGGAGAGGGCCGCGAAAGTGAGGCAAGCAAGAATGGGGCGACAGAGGCAGAGCAAAGAGTCTTCCTCCCTACGAAGTACTCCGTATGAGGATCCAGGGGGGTGTTGTGCGACGATCTCCACCGAATTTCACAGTCAAAGATGACTGATCATACGGCGAGCGGCAGCTATGCGACTGCGAGTGTGTGGTTTTGGTGTTGCAAGACGCGTGCGCTGGCCGCGTGTTGGCTTGAGAATGGCGCTAGACCGGGAGCCGTGACAGGGAGTCCAAGCAGAGACGGGCAGGTGAGGCAGGACTGGCAGGGCTGGGCACCTCGCAAACCCACCCATAATTACAGTAATTACAGGTGCGCACAAGTACTCGGCCAAATTTCCGATCGACGGTGAGACAACTTGACCTACTTGTACCTACGGAGAAGAAGCCCTGTCTGAGTATCAGGCTGGTACGTACCTACGTGCGTGTCTACCTGGGTCTGTGTTTCGTTCATCCGATGGGGAAGACACGTCGTCAAATATGCCACCAAACAAAGTGATGCAGGCTTCAAATGATTAATAGGTACTGTGTCAAAGCCTGTTCCAATATTCCCCTTCGTCCCTCTCCCGGGTGCTGCTTGCTTTTTTCCGCTGTTGCTTGTCCAGTTCCCGATGGAACCCCACTCTGCAAAAGCAAAGAAACTGCCGTGGTTGGTCCAAGCTTCAGGCAGTGGATACCTGTCATGCCCTGTCTTCTCTCAGTGAGCAAACCAATTTGATTGATCCTCCTCGGGCCTTCTCATAGGGCATGACAGTGGGTGGTAGTGGGCATCATTGGTCCACCAACCTGCTGAGGCGGCACCTAAAATTCCCAGGGCGGACACATTTGTGTGACTAAACGGCAGATCTCGCGCAAGTTTCATCACCATTTTCCCATCTCCCTCTCCTCACTCCACCCTGAGTCCCTCCTTCGCTCAAGAAAACCACCTCACGTTTTCGAGACACTGCACATTCCCCTTGTCTTTGTCGTCTTCCCTTGCCCAGCAAGCCCAGTCTCATCCTCATCATCCCCCCAACACAATCGTCCCACCCCGACCGACGATCTTTCCCGTCACGAGACGTTGACTTTTCTTCTTCCCTGTCGGGTGCCTTGAACCTTATCTCTTTCCTTCCCTCCAGACTCTTCCCATCCTCCAACCTCGACCAACAAAACCGCCTCCGGACTCCGCCCATCCTCATCTTTTCATTTCCGGGCTGAACAACCAGGTTTTCAGGCCTTCTCATCCTTTAGGGTCGCGCAGCATTTCTTCTCAGCTTCACGTCCTCCGTCTTGGAAAGTTCTCCAGTCCAGGCCTCCAAGGGAAGATAGCCCCGACGAAGTCGCTGCGACGAGAGCTGCAGATAGTGCTGCAGTCTACCGGAGCATTTAGAGGTTTGAGAATCACTTCTCTGATCCCAAAGCATCATCAACTTCCCGGACACTACACAGCTACCAGTCCACCACAAAGTCGTTGTTCTTGGGTGCCAGTTCACTGAGCTTCTCTGCCTGCTGCCTCAATCTTTCTCGCTCTTCCACCTGGTCCACATCTACCGCAAGCTCCTCACGTCCTCGAGCATCTGAAGCACCTTTCCCATCAGCCTTCAATCTCTTTCCTCCGTCCAAGAGGAGCACCTGGTCTCTTGAATCACTGCACCTGCACCAGAAGCCGAATCCTCACAACCCAACCCGACTCCATCCACGCCGTCTCATCGCCGTCACTTCATCGACCTTTTGTCTCGACATCCCTTCTCCCGCGCGACCGTTTCCTGATTCCAGCACTCCCTTGCCCGAATCGCCACTGCACCTACACGTTTTCCTTTCGAAAACCCCAAAAAGGTGTAGATAAAACAAACGATAATACCAAAATATCTCGACTTGAGAACCACCCATTCCGATTGCCATCCCAATCCGAGTGATTTGTTATCAGATTTCACAATGTCGACCTCACCACCCCCGGCCCAGTCGACCAAGCGGCCCCTCGAGGAGGCGTCTTCCCCTTCGCGCACTGGCGACCAGCCCGAAGCCAAGCGCCCTGCCCTTGACAACGTCATACGCAACGACGGCGAAGTGAAGGAAGACATTGCTGCCAGCAACGGTCTTCCGCCGATCCCCCCACCTGTGGCCTCCTCGGAGTCTAACGAGACGGGAAAGACGAATGGAGAGAAGACTGAGGTCAAGGACGAGCAGGGAGACACTGTTGTCCCTGATGCAGCAGAGACGAAGCCGATTGCGAGCACTGCGGCCGGTGCCGCATCTGTGACCGCAGCTTCTTCAGCAAACGCCCACGACGAGACTGCATGGATCCATATCCGCGCCGTCATCTCCAGCCCTGAAGCTGCCACGATCATTGGCAAGGGCGGTGAGAATGTGTCCAAGATTCGGCAAATGTCCAACGCCAAGTGCACTGTCAGCGACTATCAGAAGGGTGCAGTTGAGCGTATTCTTACCGTCAGCGGAGTTGTCGATGCTGTGGCCAAGGTAAATTCTGAACGAAGCCCCCCTAGGTATTTCTAGCACGATGGGCAATTAGCTGACACAATATAGGCTTTTGGTCTCATCATTCGGACTCTGAACAACGAGCCCCTCAGCGAGACTTCCAATGCCCAGTCCAAGACATACCCTCTTCGCCTTCTCATCCCCCACATCCTGATAGGCTCCATCATCGGCAAGGGAGGTGCCCGAATCAAGGAGATCCAGGAGGCGTCTGGCGCTCGTCTAAATGCATCTGACTCCTGCCTGCCCTTGTCCTCGGAGCGCTCCCTCGTGGTCATGGGTGTGGCTGATGCCGTGCACATTGCGACCTACTACGTCGGTAGCACGCTTCTCGAGCAGCTCAACGAGCGGTTTGGAGGCCCTGCTGCTTCGGCCTACGCCACTAGGAGCGGTGGACCTGTCGGCGTGGTTCCAGGCGGCATGCAGGTCGTACCCTACCTCCCTCAACCTGCCGGGGGCAACTACGGCAACCGCGAGAACTATGGCCGGCGGCAGCAGGACCCCAGGTCGCACCACATGGCGCCCCAGCCGTACGGACAGCAGTACGGCCATCCCCACGCTGCCCACCAGCCGAGCCCCGCCATGCCCATGCACTACGGCGCACAGGCAGGCGGTGGTGCGTACGGCGGCCACATGGCGCCGCACCAGGGACCTCATGTCGGTGGTCCCCAGGCCCACGGTGGACCGCAGGGCCAGCCCATGCACGGCGGTGTTGCTGGTGCTCCCCTGACGCAGCAGATATTCATCCCGAACGATATGGTCGGCGCGATCATCGGCAAGGGAGGACAGAAGATCAACGAGATACGCCAGGTGTCTGGAAGTGTCATTAAGATCAACGAGCCGCAAGATAATAGCAATGAGCGTCTCGTGACGATCACGGGCACGGAGGAGTGCAACCGCATGGCGCTGTACATGCTTTACTCGAGACTTGGTATGAGAGACGCTACCCCCCTTACGTGTTGAATCGGTGATACTAATCGTCGACTGTGGTTGAAATAGAGAGCGAGAAGCACAGGATCTAGGGAACAGCCGCCCAGAGGACACTTGACTCATTCCGGACAACGCGCGAACAATAACTTAATTTGACGATTTGCTCTTTCCTTTTAACGTCTCGGGTCTTTCTAACTGGGGAGATGGCAAGTAGACTCGGAGTTCCGGGAGAAACAGTCTTTTCCTTTTCTTTTTTCTCTCTTTCAAGGAGTGGCAGAATAAAATTATCCGGGTGGTTGGTGAGCGAATGGTCTCCAGGTCCTTTGCAGTTTAGCGTTTACTCCAGAACACGCAAGCTCATCGCAGCGTGCATACGGTTCTGGAAGACCCTTTCTAATCTCACGTCGTCGTATCTCGATTTCATCATCATCTTGCCCTTGTGCCCAGTTACCAAGATCCGCTCCTCTCATTGCCGCGCTCTGCCTCTCAGGTCTCCGGCTATGCCTGCCGTATCCACCATGAGATTTGTAACCTTCCAAGGGCCGCAGCCACGCATCACACTGTTTCCCATGGGCTCCATCTCACACTCGCCCCACGCCCATCCCAAGCGATGCCTACCCGGTCCCATTTGTATACGGTTGTATACGGCTCTTGGTGTGACTTTATAGATGCTCCTCCAACATCCGAGGATTTACTAATATTTGCTAGGACTCCTCGGTTCTCAACTCTTTCGCCCGGCCGTTACCTTTGCGCAGCACAGTACTCGTGCCGAGAGTTCGGGCAAGGCTTTGAGCCTCTTACACAATAATACAACCACAGCTTGGGCTCCTCATCTATCCAGAGGCACGTCGGTCACACTTACTATCAAGGTTGGTAACAGGATGCGTTACTGTCGTTTCAATTCTTACTGTCTGAGCACAAAAAATCATATTCTCCCGTCGTCCCATGGCGAGGGCCTTAATCGTACAAACGAACAGGGGATGCTTCCCAGATCTCTCTCTCAACAAAACAAAGAAAAACCACAGCCGTTACAATCTTCAAGGGTTAAATGTTCGTGGCACTATCGCACTTGCTTCCACCGCCCTCCTTTCTAGCGCCCTCTGTGTTGTTGTTCTTGGAACCCCCGAACCACCAGCGCTGCTGCCAGTTCCCAAACTAGGAGGAGGTGCTGCCGCCCTGCTGGGGACCGTGAACCCAGCTGCAGAGGACATTCAGTCAGCACATCTGGTTGTTGTATGGTGGTGTGGTGTACCGGACTGGACGTCTTTTGATAGAAAGATAGAAAAATATCCCGGTAAGATGTGACATAGAAAGAAGAAGAATGGGAAGAGTAGATAGAAGAGTAGACAGAGAGATATTTTAGAGGGGAAGAAAGAAAGAAGCACATCACTCTTGCACATACTTTTGCCACATCTTGCCCAGGAAGCCGGGCGTAGGGCGCTGCTCGTTGAGGCTCTGGCGGCGGGCCTGCTGGGCGGGGTCGCTGGAGCGCTTCTGCTCGTGGAGGGAGGCGAAGAGGCCGCCTGAGCCGTGGGAGGCCTGGAGATCATCACAGCAAAGGGGCAGTTAGCAATGTGTGTTTTTGCGTGATGGGGGAAGTCGGTTCTCTTTTCTTTGTCTCCCGGATCGTGTGTGAATGTTGGTCAGGATGAGGAGTGCGTGGCAGCCACTTACACGGCGAGGAGAGGCGGCGGAGCCCGCGGAGCCGGTCGAGGCCATGGAATCGGAGCGCTGCTGCTTGGCGGTGGTCTGCGAGTCCATGATGTTGGGTGTTATATGTGTGTGTATTTTTAGGATGATGATATTTGTAGGGGGGTCGTTTTCGTTGTTTGGTAGTGTTTTCAAGGGTATTCGTTGATGATGTTGATCGAGTAAGACAAAAGGAGGAGAGAGACAGTGCTGTTCTAACGAACAATGAGGGGTCGAGGGAGGAGAGAGACTCTCAGCTATATAAAGGAGAAGGAGCTCGTGTGTGTGTGTGCGCGTGTGACTTCTCTGCTTGCTTCTCAGATACTCGGAGCTATGTAGGTTTCGTCACCAATCCCAAGAGGGATCAGCCCATTGCTCTGCCCTCCCCCTCCCCTCCCCTCCCCTCCTCGCTCTCTCTGTACTTTCCTGCTAGTCTGGCATGGATGGGTTGGGGGCCCGGGTGGGAGATCATCATGACTTCACCAATGAGACTGGCCCGAAAGCTAAAATGGATGGCTCCTCCCAGCCTATCAGCGCCGACTAGTAAGTCAGTGAAAGAGAGGGAGGGTGTGAAAGGAGTAGATGCGGACACAGAAAGAGAGAGAGGGCGTGTGGTCTAGAACTGGAGGGTGGCAGGGCGGAGAGATCCTCCCATTCCTTTTCGGCATAGGTCCCCTGGACGATCCCTCTCATCACTGACATAAGCTTCCCGGGCCATCCTACCTACCCCCGTCCTTGACTCTCGGACGACCGAGACGTCCGCCATTCTGGATTTGCTTACGAATGAATGCTGACAGTAAACTTCGATCGGAAGTTCGCGAAGGGCGAGCCCTCCGTTCCCTTTCGGTCCCGAGGTGGAAAAGCCCGGTGTCCAACAGGAAGACAAGGCCGGCTCTGGTCGGTGTAATGTACTTGTGGTTTGATTTACGACGACTAATCCCTGGCTGGGGGGCCAAGTACAAGCTGCATGGCAAGCTGCAGTACCCCGCAGATGCCACAACCCCTTGAGCGCTTGCAGAGAGCAGTGGTCTGATGTCTCGTCTGGCCTGCCGGGCAAAGGCCAGCCCATTGATTACCTGCCATTGCGAGACCACCACTCATTGGAAGACATCATCCATTCTTACACTAGTCAGGGCAAACGTCCTTCGATAAGGGCTACGTGCCTTCGTAACTCGGATCGTTCGAGGCACAATGCCACCGTGCAGTTTAGTTCATGGGCAGGCAGTCAGGCAGTAAGGAACTGGAACTGAGTCGTGCGAGCCATGACGCTGACAGGCGGAGCGCAGCAATCCTGCATGACGTTATGGGGGAGGGGGAGAACCTCGTGTGGGGCGCGGGACCTTGTTAGCGGTTTCTGGGGGAGGCATGTGTGACTTGATAGCGATGCATTGGTGTGTGGGGTAGCTAGTTACCTATGTAGTTAGGTGGGCACTCAGGGTCCCCTCTTCTCCTCAAGTCGTGCGAATACGTATGAAGAGACGCCCGTCCATACTTCAGCTGAGTCTGAGATGGAGGAGTTGAAGATGAATCTGGGTCACAGTTGCTGATATCTCGGGTATCAATAGAAAGACATCGATCTACAAGGTTGTCTCGAACAAACTCGATGCAGAGGCAAATGTGGGCATCATGCAAGGCTAACATGAGCACAGATGGACCTCTTGCTATGGTGAAGCCTTTGTAAGATCCAGACATCTCTCTTCCAATCCTCATTAGTTGAATATGAGCCTTTACAGAGTTCCAAAGACTTATAAAGGCACCAGGCTTAAATTTAAGCTCCATCATCAGGTATCGTCTGTTATCAAACCGTCTGAATCTAAGCTCGCGATACCCGGACAGGGGTCCGTGATTTAACTAGCCCTACCAGCTTGACTCCAAAAGAGGCTGGATCGTCTTGGCATGCTATTGTTGCCTTGAGCTGAAAATGTCTCTTCTACCACCACGACCAACTGCACGGGACCGCAGATGCAGCTGGTCTGAAGGGACAACTGTTGTTGTTAAGTCATCGTCAAACAGCCCTCAGCTCCAAAGTGTATGGCCCGGGCTGTGCGACCTTGTCTCTCCAGTAAACTCATTGCTATGTGCTCAGCTCAAGACCTCGACGACAGCCGCCGTTATCAAACCAGACGGTGACCTTCATGACAAAACAGGCAGACAGTATCGTCTTCTACTCTAGACCAGACCATGGAGGGAGCGAGCGTGACTCTAGACTTTGACGCCCTTCCGTTGGAGATATGGACTGCCATCGCCGGGTTCTTCTACCCGCACGAGCTCGCCGTGCTGTGTCGGGTCTCGAAGCTCTTCCGGGAGCTCTTCAGACCCATCCTGTGGAGGCACATGAGCTTCCGGTGGCCGACCACCAACAAGAAAGACAGGTACCCGGGTAAGCGGCTGCTCGAGTCCGACTTTGACCAGCGGCTCGTCAGCCTCACCCTCGAGACGTACCACGGCCGCCACGCCAACGCGTCGTGGCCCATCGCAATGAAGAAGTGAGTTTTCTGCCAACCCCTTCCCTTTTTTTTTTTTTTTTTTCTCTCTCTCTCGGAGGCTCGCACAGAACTTTCAAGAACAACCAGGCTAACCGCACGGCACAGAAAGACGAGGTCGGCCGTGCTGAAGCGGCTCCGCGCCGCCGGCGCGCTGTCGTCCCTCGCCGTCGTCCAGTTCCCGCGCCAGGTCCTCGTGCACCGGCCGCCGCAGTGGACGAGCAGCCTGCTGCAGCACCTCCGGCTCGCCAGCCTGCGCAGCCTGACCCTCGTGGGGCCCGCGAGCATGGACGCCGAGGCCACCGCGTCCATCATCCTGGCCTCGCGCGGCCGCCTGCGGGCGCTGCGCGTCCACGGCTCGGCCGAGGCCCTCGACCCGATGTTCTACCTGTCGCGCCGCCAGCCCGCCTACGTCGAGGACGTCCGGCTCTTCTGGGCCCGGGTCATGAGCCTCGTCGCCGAGGGCCGCGCCTCCTCCTCCTCCTCCTCCTCCTCGGGCAGAGTCGACCGCGCCGACGAGCCGCCGCTGCGCCTGCGCGAGCTCGCCGTCGACGACTTCGCCGGCGTCGACTTCTCGTCGCTGACGGACCCGTCCCGCCTGCGCCGCCTCGCCCTGCACGACCACCTCAGCCAGGAGGCCGAGGCCAGCCCCGGCGCCGCGCGCCACCTGCGCGCCGCCGTGAACCTCGAGGCCCTGGCCGTCACGCGCCTGCGCCAGGACACCCTCGCCCTCGTCGAGCACGTCCACGCGGCGCGCCCGCGCCCGGGCGGCGGCAGCGGCAGCGGCAGCGGGCTGGCCGAGCTGACCGTGCGGCTGACGTCGACGCGAATGCTCAAGGAGGCGCCCGCGGTCTTGCAGAAGAAGGAGTGGCGGCGGCTCAGCCTCCGGCCGGAGCGGGGCTACGTCAACCTGATGAAGTGGACCGAGAACATCCCGGCCCTCGGGGCGGGCTTGGAGGAGCTGCACCTCGCTCTGAGGCTCCCGGACAAGGTTTGCCACTCCCCCCCTTTCCTTTTTTCCAACCCTCAACCCCGCGGAGCGGGTTTCCCATCCCTCCAATTGTCTCCCTTGCTCTACGTAGCTGTTTATCAAAAAAAAAAAAAAAGAAAAAAAAAAGGGGCAGAACGCTAACCCCCACTCACCAACGTACAGGACGCCGTCCCAGACATCATAGCCCCCCTCTCCCGCCTCAGGCTCCTCTCCGTCGAGTTCAGCCAGTACCGCCATCCCGACGACAAGCGCAAGCTCGAGGACCTCGTCGACAAGTGGGCCGCCGAGGTGCTCCTGCGGCACGAGCGCGACGTCGCCGCCGCCGCCCCCGTCGAGACGACGCCCATAGCGACGCCGCCGGCGTCGGCCCTGACCGAGGTCCGGGTCGTGCTGGAGCGGCGCATCGGGCACGACACGCGCAGCCCGCGCGGCGAGACCTTCTTCGAGGAGTGGTCGTACTTCAAGTCGTGGCAGAGCAGCGCCGGCGGGGACGAGGTGGCGGTGGCGGCGCTGCCCGAGAGGGAAAAGGAGGACGGCGAGATCATCAGGCACCCGGCGCCGGACTGGCGGTTGGTGCGGCACGTCCGGCGCCTGCCGGCCGAGTCTGTCGGCGCGCTCTGACCTACTTTTTGCTCTGCTATGGCAATGTGTCTGTCTTCCGAGGAAGGGTGCTTTGTGTGTGTGTGTGTGTGTGTGTGTGTGTGTGTGTGTTTGTCGGAGGCTGGGGATGTGGAAGGAGTCTTAAGTACTGTTTTTTTTATTTGGCAGAACTGCCTGGGTATGGAGGTATCGATACAGTTCTTAGACTCTCATTCTAGCATAGGTACTGCATAAGCTCCTAAAGGGGAACAGCGGCAGCCTTCTAATGTCTATCCCCTTGCGATGCCTTGTGCCTAGCTCGTTTGGACAGACATCATCTTCGTATTCCTATTGGCAGCAAGTCGGCATCTTGACTGCCGATTCTCAAGAAACTCAACCATCCATGTCCGTCCCAGATTTCCTTGCTCCCGCCGCATCCTGCACCAGGCTATCAAATCCAACATGGCCCTGAGTATCTGGATCTGCTCCAGCACGCTCGATCGACTGGTACCGCCCCCAGAGGATTTCGCCTCGACACTCGATTCATATTCGAATGCCTCCACCATGTCTGCTGTGAACCGAGAATCAATGGCTTGCAGTTGCTCAAGGGTCAGCTTGTCCATCGAAATGTCCGGCTTTTCAGACAGTACAACGACGCGTCCAGAGATGTGGTGAGCCTCTCTGAACGGACATCCCTTCCTCACCAGCCACTCTGCGACATCAGTGGCCAGCATCGTTTTGTCCAGAGCAGCCTCCATCTGCTCTGGCCGCACCTTCAAGGTAGCAATGACCCCATTAGCTATGCCTAGACTGTCCGAGATAGTCTGAACGGAATCCAGCATAAGCACCCACGGCTCCTAGAGATCTTTGTTATAGCAGGTCGGCAAGCCTTTCACTCTACCAGATGAACAGTCAGTCAGTAGCTACTCTTGACACGCTCCTAGTCACCCTTGAAGCCAAGGCAACTAGCTGAGATGCTAATATGAGAACTCACCATCATCAACCCGGCCGTTTGACCGAAAGAACGCCCCGACTTGCCCCGCAGAAGCTCCAACGAGTCCGCGGCATGATGGCGAAAGTTCCCTGCTTCCATTCTTCCATCACCTGGAGCAGACCACGCTCAATCGCCTGAAATTCGTCTTTTGCTGATGATGCCAGCCTTTGAGTTGGCCCTGGCAAAAGCAATCGATCCAAGGATATCTTTCTTTTGTAAAGAGTCTTGTCGTACTGGATGGAGGCATTGTACTTTGTTCATGAGAGGATCCATGGCACCTGCGCACCGTGAGGTCAGTATCCTGCATCCGATGCCTGTGTCCCGAGACATTCGAACCTCCGAACCACCTCCCCCTCCCCAGAGCATGCCAGCTGCCAGGGCGTCCGCCTTTTTCTCGGCCATGTTGAAGTATTTGTGAGTGCCGTTCGTTGTGCTCGTTGCGTTCCCAAGGCTGATGAAAATCAATGGATTCGATGAGACCAATGGAACATATGGCACGCAATGATACCAATTAGCGTTCGAGACCAAGGGCGTGAGCAATTGAGGTCGAGAAGTTTGTTGAGGAACGAGAGTTGGTCGATCAGTTGAGGGCTTGAGGCACAAGTACAGTCATACTGGTGTTTGTGTCACGTAGGGCAGGGACCCCGCCTACTTGCTTTTTGTACAGAATCACCGAGGCAAGTGAGCGATCAGGATAGTTGACGGAAGTTCATCAGGAGCTACATCAATGTGTATCAATCAAAATATCCTTGTCATATCCTTGCCCTGGAACTCGGAAGGGCTGTCCCACCACCTAGAACCGATGGGTGATGGATAGTCAAGGACTTCTGCTAGCAGTCCATCAACTAACCTGACCATCACTCGGTCCTGTTAGGAAGCTGTCAAAATGCCTCTCCCGAGGGAAGATTTGACTTTTCTGTCCCAGCGGCATCTTCCGCGCATCCCCTTTTCTTGACCAGGGGTCACTCATGTGCCGTGGCTTTGACAGCTCTTCACCAACAACCCCAGATCGGCGATGCACCCAAGACACAGAGGATGCCAAGGGGAGCCAAAGAGACGGCCACGAGCCCGCGCGCACGGCCTAAAGTCTAAAATGCCTTCTTGGAGCTGGGTCGGTCAGCAAGGAATGCTGGGGGACTGGTGCGGTGGGTTAGGACGGCGCCGCGCCAGAACAGCCATGTGGAATGCAGAACAAGATATGAGAGAGGGAAGTGAGACACAATACTGGAGACCAGCACGCGGCCGCGCCAGCGCGAGTCACGAAGAGCAAGCCGCACCCCCTCTTTTTCTCTTCGCGAGTTCTTCAGAGAGACAGAGAGAGAGGGGAAGGGGAGGGGGGGATAAAGGTGAAATGTCGCGCATACATATTGTATTGCTGGCGCACCCATGCACGCAACCTTTCGAGTCCCTGACGACGACGGCCCCTTGCAGATTTTCGACCAACAAAAAAGGTCCCAAATGGCGGTGATGAAACAACGAAGTTCGGAACCCGAAACCCAACATAGGCGGCAACCCGAAGCGGCTGGGCAATGTGACTCTGGCGGACCCGGCTATATGCAGAGTGCAATATATTCGGAGACCGGGCGGACCTCACCATCGGGAAGTCTGGTAGCGAGCCAAAGCATATCGAGGGACGAGAGCCTCCTCCCCATCTTCCCACCCAAATTTTGTTTAACCGGACCTCGATGATAAACCTTCGACACCCCCAGGTATCCTTCCCAGTCTCTTGCTCGACGGTGCCATCCAACTCGACCATATTTTCGCTTCTTGCCCGAGGCGACGAGAGAACATCACGATCCAAATGCGCGAACCTGGAAGCCTCTCGGCCTTGTGTTGAGCATGTTTGATTGCTATACTCGTTCTATCATCTCATCCGCCTTTCGTTTGACGGTACGTAAGAAGACATCCGCCTCCCTTTGTCTATCGAACCCATCCATGCGTTGGTATACTCCAAACCAAAACGATACCCTTTCGTTCCAAAGATGTCCAAAGACAGTGTGCTGCACGCTCAGACCAACACCGGAATATACAAAAAGAAAAAGAAAAAAGAAAAGCCACTTTCATCGACGCCGAAGGTGTACAAGCAATGACCAGAGATCAAAAGAAAAGCAAAACCAAATAACGGGGAGGAAAAGACAGGTTGGGAGTCTTATCTCTTCCCCTCTGGGTATTCCGTCTTTCCGCCATCACCATCCTTATATACCAATGTCCCCTGCCTTTCCTCGATCCTTGTTATTTTCCCTTCTTGTACTCATTACATTAAATGATGGTTTGCTGTTGATGTTGCTTGTTGGTTGGTTGAGGGCGGTGGCGGTTGTCGTTGTCGAATGTTGATGCTAATTGTGGTTGTAGAGAATGACTGGCTGTTGATACAATGACTCCATGACCGACGACAGTCATGTATACAAATCGACGCTTTTCCGGGACCCTATCGGTTTGCAACTAGAAGGAGCGTGGGTGAATATTACAATTTGCCGAGACCGATGAAAGCAAGGATCAGTTCTCACTGCCAAAATCCGAAGGGGTGATGTTGGGCGTGAACTGGATGTGGCTCGACTTGGAAGCGAGAGGCGAACCCCTCATCGACGCATCACTACCAACGTACGAAGCACTCGGGAAGGTGTACTCGGCGTTGTTGGACCCCCAAGCAAAATAACTCGGGCCCATGGTCGGGGCGAAAGATGGAGTGGCCGGTTGGCTGTTGACAACATAGGTCGGTGCCGACGAGGCCATGGCGAACTCCTCCGAACCGAAGCTGCCCAGTCCCGGAGTGACCAGAGGCTCATCCTGGGGCACGTAGTTCCACGCCGAATCGAGGCCCAAGACCTGCTCAGAGTAGACTCGAGCAAGGCCCGGGGTTCCGGGAGGAGTCTTGAGAGTCGACTCCATCCTGCTGAAGAAGGGATTGGGCTGAACAGAAGGACCCAAGGTGTATCGCTGCTCATCATCCGATGCACTTGACGACACAGTGGTCTCCCTTGCGGTCTGCTGGCCTTGGAAAGGGTGGTCGCTGGGAGTCACAGGAGACAGCGTGGTGGGCATAGAGGCCATGACAGGAGACCGAGCACTCTGCTGAAGAGATCGCATCAGTGCCTCCTTTGTTCGCTCATAATACATGGGAGACCTCGGCGCCTGGATGTTCAGAGAGGGCTTTTGAATCCTGCAGGGCATGGTACCAGTCGCCGAGACAATGCGCCGCATCGGACTGGCAGCGTCAGAACGCCGAACCATATCCATTCCAGTTTTGGGTCCGTACGAATAGCTTCGCAGCGCTGTTGTGCTAAGCTGGGCTGGGATGCCACGGTTTCGTCGAGACGCAATGTTCGAAGGTGGAGGGGGAGACTTGAAGCGCATATCTGTCGAGTCTGGCGAGGATTGGTGAGACATCGACCGGGGGGAAGGGTGCTCGATATTGATATTGCCGGTGAACAGCTCGTTCTGCGCATCTCCCAGGTCCTGGGACGGAAGGCATGGAACGGGAGACACAGAGCCGGAGAGAGATCCAGCCGCGACAACATTGGCAAAGTCTCCAAAAGCATCGAGGCCTTGCACCGGACCATTCGAAGCGTCAAAGGTCGGGATCGAGAGATGACCGCCAGACATGCTGCAGGCCATCATGCCAGATGACTGAGACGGTATAGAGAAGGGAGTGCCCAGCATAGCCGGGTGTGGATGGACGGGCTGGAAGGGGAGCGACTCCGGCGACAGGTACTGATCTTCAGCCATCTCTTGAGCATCACCTTCAGAACTAGGAGCACCCTCCTCCAACGACATGCTGGGGGCAAGAGTCAAGTCCTCATCATCATCCTCCTCTTCCTCGTCATCGACAGAGCGGCTTGCATCACCGGTGTCTGGGAAGGCGGCTGACGAAGCCTGTAGCGGCTGGCTGTGGTTGCTGAGGCCGTAGTACTCGCTCACATTGTGCTGGTCTTGGCCATCAGGCGAGCTGGCACCTGAGGCAACTCCGTCCGCTGACTGTTGAGCTTCGAACTCCCTCGACTTCCTCATTTGCTTCTCTTTGGCACGGCGGTTTTGGAACCAGTTCTATGGATAATTAGCGACGCCCTTGAGTCCAGGTGGCTGGGCTTGGAAATACATTTATCCTGGGATGCTCGACCTTCAAGAGATCGGCAATCTCCCGCTTCCGGCCGCTGGTCGGCTTAGGGTTCTTTCGAAATTCCCTCTCGAGAAGCTCGACCTCGTCCTTGGCGAGTCTAGGCTTCGGTTCGGGCTGCTTTGCGTGTTGCATATCCCTCGGGCCCATCATGGCACGCTGTTGTTGCTGAAGCTGAGCAAACATATACAATTGCTCATTGGAGTAAGGGAATGGATATCCGGGATGGGATGGAGGGGCACTGAAGGACTGCATGTTGTAGTTCGGTCGATAGCCGCTGCGGTACAAGGTGAGGTAATCCATGGCTAACGATGTGATGGGCGAGGCAGGTTGCTGGATAGCGAGGTGTTCGGATGGGCATGGAACTCCGGGTCAAACAATGTCAACGAAAGACGACGGTTTCTTCGCGAGAGTAGGAAAGAGTGGAAAGAAAAGGCACTTTGGCTCGACGGGGTGGTTGAAAGAATGACTGAAGGTCGGACTGCAAGGAAGGCCAAAAGACTGAGCAAAGACGAGGGTCTTGCTGAACGAATGTATGGGTCGACAAGGTCGAGGCTCCGAGGAATGGGATCGAGGACGCGGGCAGGTTCAAGAGCCGGGGATCCTTTTGGTATAAAAGTGACGGCCTCCGAGAGGGATGGGAGGAGAGCCCTTTGGTCGCGTACGACCAGCTGAGACAGGACTATGCAGATGAACTCTTCGCGAGGAGTAGATCGCGTCTGTCAAGCCAAACGTCTAGTTGTTTCGACAAGAACGAAAGATCGAGCAAGCGGGAGAGGAAAGGAAGGGATGGGGGGGTGTGGAGTAGATGAAGTACTCCTGGGATCTCTCGGTGCATCGTCGTCAAGACGGCGGCGTGTGTGGTCCTCTCTATGAGTGCCTAGCCTTGTGGTCAGGTAGGTACCGGGAGGTATGGGACAGGACAAGACGGACCAGGGAGACCGGGATGGACCAGGGTGGAGGACAGGTCCAAGAGACGGAGCAGACAGGTAGGTAGGTGCCGTCGAAGCTAGCCCCTTCAGCCGAGCCAAGTACCTAGAGTGAAAGACAGCGACAGCGGACGGGAAGATACTCTGGTCGAGAAGAGGAAAAGACGAGAGAAGATGGGGGCTTGTGCGAGTTGAGCCAATGCGCCCCTGGTCCAGCACAAGGTGGGTAACCCAGATGTAGAGCGATAGTTACTTGCAGCTACCTGGCGGGCTGCGAGCACAATACAAAGACAGCCGTCCAGGCGTGTACCGTGTTCAGTACCTCCCTCCGCCTAGTGTCATCCCGGGTTGCTGTCCAGAGATCCGGAGCTTTGTGAGAGCATGTGGACGAAAAAAAGTGACAGGGGCGGACCTTGCAATGGCTTGGCCCGCCTCTGCGCTGTGTGGATCCCCCTGATGGGAGACAGGGTTTGGGGAGAGGAGCCCGGCCGCCCCCCCTGTACGTATGTGCGGGCCTTGAGTAGAGACGAGCGACAAAGGAGGGATGGGAGAGGATGGGATGGGATGGTGGTGGAGGTTGATGTGGATGGATGGGTGGATGATGGGATGGCGGCCGTCGCAAGGTCGTGTACCTAGCGCCCATCCGAACGAAAAGAAGAAGAAAGGTACCTACCGTAGTGCCCTTGGAGCGACCCATGTCCTCGGGGGCCGGGCTGGGTGTGTCACCCTAACCTTGGCCCAAAGAGGTACCTGAGAGGGCTGAATTCGCTTGCTCCAGTACATACCTTGACTACCTGTACCTGTACCTACAATTTACAAACCTTACAGAGTACTCAACACTACAGGGCATGCCCAGTACTTTCCAAGAGATGACGATGTGATGGGCGAGCCACCTACCCAGAAATGAATAGCCAGGGCGGCAAGAGAGCAGGGAAAAGCAAAGGAATAGGGACGCCGAGACTCGAGTGGGTGACAGCAAGACATCGCGCGCGACATCAATGCAGGGCGTGCACACTGGAAATGAGCAAAGCACTGCGAGAAAGGGGAGAGAGGTAAAAAGCCTTGGCCCTCTCGCAGCGCGAGCTGCAACACACGCGTTGGCAATCAGCGCTAGACAGAGGCGCTGACGGAACCAAAGGAACGGCTTCTTGGACGGACAGCTCAGGATGGACTGATTTGCGCAGGGGGAGACGGACAAAGCGGCAGAGACGCATGGCCACTGATGTGGACTGTTCTTCCTGGCCTCACTCTCCCTGTCCTCGGCCTGCTCGGTGGTGCGTGCACCTAGAAGAGATCGCGGCAGGAAACAGTGGAGTAGGACGCTAATGGGGGGGGGGGGGGGGGGGGTGGGGGGGAATACCTGGAAGCTGGCTGATGCTACCTCCTAGCGGGGTTTTCAAGGTCCCCCGCGAGGTACTTTTTCTCCCATGCGGCAGAAGGCCGGAGGACGGAGCTAGAGCAGCACCAACACGGCCGAGAAAAGACGAAAAGGGCATCTTTCTGTCGTCAATGTCTGACCTCGAAGAGGTTTGGGACGGGCCTGGGTCTGGCCTCCCGGACCTCGTTTACCGTACTGGACGGACGGTGTGCAAAGGCAAAGAGTTAATTGCAAAAAATGGCAAGCTCCGTCCTGACCTGGGAGCAAATAGCGCGTGAGGACCGCTTGAGCAAAGTTCAGTAGATAGGTCAACTAAGGCGGAATCGGCTTCGCGCGGGCGGGCTCATCTTCAGGATCTAGGCCTGGATTTGGTGCAGAGTCACTGCAGAGTCACTGCAGACACGGTGACAAAATGGAACCTTGGAGCCTTTCCACGCTCAGGAGCGCTGGGAAATGAGAAGGAGGGACCAAAGGGGAACCTTCGCGGGCAGGCCAGGGCGCTGGTGGAGGCATCAAATCCATTGTGCCCCTGCCCAAGGGGAGGAAAGAACGGCCCCGTGGACTTTTTTTTGACACCAGCCCCTCCTTCTCCCTGTGCTCTCAGGTCAAGACAGCGTGTTAGTTATCAAGATTGAGATTGACACCCTCGAGCAATCAAAATATCCCCTCGCACAACCGTCCCCTTGTTCCTCCTGCCCACCCCCTCTCGGCATGGAAAAGATGAGCGATGACGAGAATGACGAGACAGCCCAATCTTCACGCAGCCGAGCACCCCAGCCAACGTGCTTCTGGCATGCGCAACGTTGAACATTCTCCTCTTTTCCACTTTCCTCGTTTCCGCAGGTGTCTCAGACACAACCCGAGGGACCGCCCCGCTCGCTCCTCGCGAATCCAGGAACAGATTGAATTTTCGCCTAGTCCCCTCGTCCTCTAGTCGCCTCGGCGTCCCAGCGAGAAGGACTGGACCCAATCCACTACCAGAAGGCGCCAATGCCACCGCTGGGGACCAGTGCGTCCCAGCAGAACAACTTCAGCGACACGTTGTACCTCGAGTCGGCGAGAGCATTCATCGGAGGATGCCGATTGGAGCTAATCATTCAGTCACTGAGGAAGAGTAAATCCAGTCATGCGGGCGTCATGCTCGAAGACTCTCACCAAGACGAGAAGCCGCAAAGTTTTTGCCAAGCACCCGATCAGTATCCTCTTTCCTCTGTGTCGTCTAGAACCTGCAGGGTTGGGACGGAATGCTGGGGTCACTGTGCCATGACATGACAGCTGCCACAAGAAGTCAGAGGGATTGCATATGGGATGCACATCATGCGGTACCTGGTTAGGCTCCTCTCAATCCCAGTGCACATCCACCAGGTAGGTTTGCACCTACTGCGGAGGTCCCAGGTGGGCCATTTCGCTTACTGATTGCTCTGATTCGCACCCAGCCCGCACTCTGCCACATATGCCACCAAACAACCAAGATCAGCTTGCTATTTGCTCAATAGCTGTTTCACGGTCACTCGATTCAGAAGCTGGCACTGCACGAAAAGCCATAAACGTCACTGTCTCTCTCGCCAACCTTCATCGGGCCTTAAAGTTCAGACCATTCTTGGAATGAGATGGCCTGGGTGAAAGCAACTAATGAGAGGGTCCCGGCATCTTCGATCGCGCCTGAACGATGCCCTCCAACAAATGGCTCCCACTGAAAAAGCCAATCGTATCAAAAAGCTGACAACCTTACTTGCACTGGAGGTGTTCTGCCAAGACGGCTGATGCTGCGCACTACTAGAGGACACCACAAATCATCAGTCAGAGCCCAACTCGTCAGGGAAAGCTCCTCTAAGAACTCGATGGCTAATGCGGGCATCTCGCCGCGAAGACTTGGTGCTAGATGTTCAGACAAGACAAAAATGCCCTGCTTAAGCAGCGAGAGTCCAGCTTCCGGCAAGGCCTGATTTGTGTTCACTAGTTTGAATTCTGATTCTGAGAATTATCGTTGCCCCCCTGGAAACATCGCGAGCACGGTTTCAACCCACGACGCCCAGAACTCCAAGCAGTGTCCGGAGGCAAGTCGGGACCCCCACCATTGTGCGTGCATATGCAGTTTGGGTTCGGGGCAGGCAGGTTCAGCTGGCCAGCACACTTCGCGGCCGGTGCGCAGCATGCATCAACGGCTTTGCTTCCCCTTTGGTGGCACCATCTCTTGCTCTTCTAGAGGGGACGAAATGCGTCGACCGGGCCCGAGCCATTGACGCGCATGACCGGCCGGGGAGGGGTCACTGATGGTCGGCTGTGAGTGGTCTCACGCCACAGCGTCGCACCGCGTCCGCCGCTGTAGCAATTGCTTCTATTTCTGTCATGTCTCAAAGCCCGAGAAACCTACGTTGCCCCTCTTCACACATGGACATATGGTCACCTTGGAGGGCGCAAAGGAGAGGACGGGCGCTGCTGGAGATTGGTTGAAAGCGCCCCCGACGACATGCATGCGCGCTCTCCCTCACAAGGTCGTATCCTTAGCCGTCACCCGCCATTACTAAGGAACGGTACCTAAGGAGTAGTCTACCGACCTATCCCCCAGAGAGCAAGGAGAGAAACTTTGCAAGGCCACTCATTGCAATTCAGTGTGCACGGGAACTCGATGAGGATGGCGGCTACCTGTCAACCGCGATAGCCCTCGAGCAGACGACACTGGCTTAGGTCATACAAGGACGACCCTTGCAACAGTACTTTTATGCACGTCGATTTCCAACCATGGTAAGGCCGACACCAGCACCCATGCAGGTCAACCAGTCGCAAGAAATTGTCAAAAGAGGCTAAGGCGGCCCGGGTTCTATCCCTAAAATGCAATCTTGACAACGCAGTCGCATACGCAACTGGACAAAGAAAGACTTCATGCTTTTCGATTGATGTTCTGAGCAGTGCTACAGTTCACGGAATGCTGCCTAGCTGGGTATTGGCTTGTATTCTCAGCATACCTGCCAGTCGGGACATGCAGAGGTACCCAA